GAGGTCTGGACAAGTGCAAGACACCAGTCCGAAGTCTCCTTTGAAGGATTGCTCCCAGGATTTGCTAAATGCAGTCACCTGGCTCGCGGTCTTTGCTTGTAAAGTGCTTCGTAGAGCTTGAGGCTACATCTGTTACACACTTTACACACTGCACGAGTGCGAATAAAAGGGATTGCCGTTTTAGTTTGGATTGCAGTTGTCCACCACATTCCCAAAGCCTGCAAGCTCGAATCCTTTCCTCCATTCTTGCCAGTAGCTTCCCCAGACCCACAAGGCCCTGAGCCGAAGCCTCGAAGCCCAATAAATCCCAACGGTCGCTTCTGGGCTTCAGGCTTCACGCGGTGCCGGGGTGCCATGCTTTCTATGGTTTTGTGGAAGTACGCAGGAAAGCAGATCTCAGTCGTTGAGGTCTTTGGTCCGTTCTCTTTGGATCGTCTTTCCTGTCGATCCTGAGCCCCAGAACGGGCCCCCAAACCCCCGATTCTACTCCCTGAGTTGGAATCCGTAACACCCAACACACTTAACCTTTGAACTTTAAAATTTAAACCCCAGGTCAACGAGCGCTAAAGTTTAAGTTGTTCTGAGTTAAGCCAAGGGTTTTGTGTAGTGCAGGGGCTACGGAATGTCGGTCGAGTCAGCATCTTCAATGCTCATGTTCCCAGGTTTCGGGGATCAAGGCTGCATCGGCTGCATTTCCTTGATGCCTGCACTCTGTTGTCTTTTGCCATGAGGTGGCCCGGATTTTGCCCCAGCTGTTTACTCCAAACCCTAAGCACCACAACTTTTGTCTGAAGCGGAATCCCAGAACCATGCAAGTAGAGACATCTCTTCGGAAAGCCTAAGGATCTACCTTGCAGCATCACGTTGTTGACCTCGCGAACCAAGTAGCTCGAAAAATCTCCAAGGTGAGCCAAAGTTGACCCTAAAGCCTAAATCCCAGACCCCAAACCCTAAACCGTTTGCTGTCGTGCCTGCAGCACAGGCTCCGCGGCTCTCACAAAGTCAGAAGGTGCCATGCCGACGGTCACGGCCAAAGGCCGGTGACGAGGCACCGTTTTGGGTTGATGTTTATAGTAGGGGCGCACCCACTTATTGCGCGCATGCGTCTGCCCCACAACCACCCCAACTATTCCCAAATCCAGTTAAAGGTTCACCCCCAAGCTCCCCTCAGGGGTGGGAAGGCCCTGAGAGGCCTTGGCATGGCCCGGACCCCATGTAATCGGTTAGCCGCGCTCTCGCCATTCTAGGGCTATAGAGTTTGTGGTTTGACTGCTCAGGTTTCAGGGTCACAAACCTGCGCGACACATGCTCTGAATCAACGGAGGCAGAGACCAAAATGTGTGTAATTTCTTCTCGGTAGAACATGCAGAGCATCTTACATAGCACTTCTAACTTCCGAGTATTAAACTCTGGCAGAGCAAGTTGAACTTCTCGAACCACGCCCCAGGCATCCGCAAGAAGCTGCAGCATCGACATGCGACAAGACTTGCACCAAGGCCGGAATCCTCCCGGCGGGTTTACCTGAGCAGGTTGTGGTAGTAGTACACTCAGTCTTTGTAATCGTCGTCGCATAGTCGTCGTGGTGTTAGTCGGGGCCGTCATCATAGTCTCGTGGTGGTGCCCACACGCCGAGTCTGTCCGCCCCAGTGAATCTCTCACTTCGGGATACAGTTCGCGGGCTCCGTTGTTTTTTTTGGTTTTTGTTCTTAACCTGTTGTGTTTATCAGCTTGCAGAGTTTGACGGGCAGCTGGCATTGGGTTCTGGAGGCTTGTCGGGCCTGGTTGCAAGATAATTGGTTTTTCGGGTCAGGGCTCAGGATGTCGATGAAAGCAGAGGGAACTCGAAAGTAGGCCTTCTTGTTTTGATTCGCAAGAGGAATCCCGCCGGCAGAGGGTGGAGAATGGCAGTTGGTTTGTGCAGTTGTTGCTTCTCAGACTGCTGGCTTACACCGATACTCGACATGATTCCAAGCAGGGTCTGTTAGTCATGGAAACCGGTTGCAAGGTAGACTAATGGAACCCGAATCCCGGAACCCCGTTATGATTATCTGTTATGCCTGAACCTTGAAACCTGGGGCCAGCGAAACAAGATCCACTATCCGCCGAGACGTGGCGCTGTAGAACCTGCAAGGTGCTTGGAGGCGTGCCTCCAAGCAACGGAGGTCGCCTCTGCAGATCCTCACCCAACAGCCTGCCAGCTATCCCGGACCCGTGGACATCCACTGTCAGGCTCCATGGGCTTGAATCAGAAATTCGAAGCCCGACTAGCTGCATGATGAAAAACAGTTCGGCAAATTTTCAGATGCTAAGGAAGCATATCGGGTTTTGAAGCATCTGCGGAGGGGGCGTTGTGTGGGCGCAGTGTGTCTTGACTCTGGTGTTCTCTTTGAATTTCATGCTCCGGGTGTTTGGAGTGTGAAATTCGGGTTCTATTTGTTGGCACTTAGGGCTTGGGTACCTTCATCATTGCTGGCTTCCAAAGCTCAGTTTCTGGAGTTTGGGAAGGTTTGCCAACACTGACGTCATTTCTGAAGCTCACGAAACAGCTCCGTCATACATTCACACCGCTTATAGACCAGAGCCCCAATCCTCACACCCGGCCCCAAGCCCTAGCACGCGCATCTTACTTGTTCTTTCATGGCCTAGCACGTATGTGGACCCTCTTCCAGTCTTTCGTTGTGTGAGGTTCCGCCAGAGATGCTAGAAGGAGCTGTGGAGAAGGTTGACTCGGAAATGGGATGCCACTATGTGGACAAGATTGCGGCTCCTGGCTTTGGCACATATTCCCGAAACTGGGTGCTCTCAGAGATCAAGATACAGTTGTGGTGTATGCAAGTGATAGACTTATGTCACTTATGTCTGATCCTGTTTCGTCCTTACGGCTTCCAATCCACATTAGAAGTCGGGTATCGTTTTTGTCACGCAGATGGCGAATCCCAGGAAAGACTTGCTACGTCGTGGTGCTGGATGAGGTAGCCATGACAGACTGTCGCTTGAAACCGGAGCAGGTGATAACAAGCAAGCTCACGAGCACGCAGTTTGCCTGCACTTTGTCCGGCGAGTTCGGGGAGCTCACATCGGCGCTAGATCCTGTGCCTGCCGTGCAGACCTCGAAGTGTCAGATGGTGTCTTTGCAGCCTGAGCCATTGATCTTCAAACGGCGGCGGCGATCCCAAGAGATGTTCGCAGACCTGATGGTGTGCCTCGTGGTGATGGACTCGGATCTGGGCAAGGATGCCTGGATCCTGGCTGGTTCTGCACGTCTTCGAATCTACATGTGACATTGGCAAGCTTTTTTCAGCTTTGTCCAGCGAAACACGACACACAACTTAACCCATGCCTAGGGCCTTGGACCCTGAAGTTCAAAGGCCGCATAAAGCTTCAAAGCTTAACCAAGCAACGTAGGGTGCAAACAACCTTCCAAACTTTGAGGGCCTAACGGCCCCTCCACGATGTTGTATTCGTCAAAGGCCCAACTCCCGAATGTTGCGTTTTCAGGTAGGTTGCACCTCGAGAGCGGCCCGCCGGACCGACTCCCCGACCTAAGCCCCTCACTAAACTGCAAAGCTTTCAATCGATACTCGCTTGGGGGTCTGCGCATTTTGATCCCGCAGCCCTGACAAAAGCCTGTTGCCAACTTCCTTGATGAGAGCGATTCTTCTGGTTAAACCCCTCAACCCCTAAACCCTTAACCCTGAACTCTGAACCCTCAAGTCAATCCAAGATCCAGGTGTGGCCTTTCCCTCGAATCCTTCAAGGCTCCACCAGGACGGGACAGTCCCGCAGCTGCTAGGAGCGTCACACACCACGAAGGGCAGTTCCGTAGAACGAACAACTCATTCCCAAACCCTGAACTTCATCCGCCCACCAACCTCAGAAGACATCTATAGCCTTCAATCGAAAATCTTGCCAGTCCGCCAAGACAGCCGAGCCATCCTTGTAGGACCCTGAAAACCCCGAAGCCCACAGCAGGAAGTCACACGGCTAACCAGCGTCTACCGAGTCGAGTGTATACTTAGTAGGATCCTGGCCGCCATTCTCCTAGTCGCGATGGTCTGGATCGCCGTCAGGCCCGCGCTTGTCTTCAGGTCAGGTTTGGAGTTTGAGGGTTTAAAGTTCAAGGTTTTAGGGATTTAAGATGTCGGCGGAAGGGTTCGAACTTCAGCGCATTGCCTGGTGCCCGCAAGCCGAAAGCCCTGAAGCGCAGCAGATTCTGAGCAATGCAAGAGGGCGCCGTTTGCCGACTTGATCCCAAAACACCTGCCTCATAATGGTCTGAAGCCTCTGCCCGGAAACCCTCAACCCTAAACCCCGGGATATGCCGAGGCCCAGTTTTCTCATGAAGACCTCTCCGAAGAATTCGGGGATCCGTCGGAGCTTGAGGCAGAGGAGGGTCGCTCTAGAACGTCAGCAGGGTCGGGAGATGTGGTCATGCTTGATGACATGGGGCCGGAGATGTGAGTGGTCTGAGATGTCGGTTCGAGTGGGAGGGTTTGCCTTAGGCAGTGTTTCCCAGGAGGACGTAAGTCCCTGAAACCCTGAACCCCTTGCCTTTGGTTAGTAGGGAATGGAAGACTGGTAGTAATAGTAGTTATAATTGTACCCCATTCCTACTTAAACCCTAAACCCCAAACACCTAACGGCCCTAACTCCAAGATGCGTCCCACACCCAGGTTCCCTTCTGCTCTTGTCATGAAGTATGAAAAAGCCAAGAAATCGTCCAAGACTTCTGCAAGTGATTTAGATTCTGTAGATAGGAATTGCACACTCGAGCGAAGCTGCATGTGCACCCAGTGTTCGTGTGGATGCCGACGATGCCGAGTTGTTTGTTGTTAGAGTTTGCTGGCCGTATGTATGGCTCCCTACGGAATATTAGTGCTTGCATATTGGAGCTTCCGTTTGGTGGTGCTGGTGATAAAGTCCTTGCTTCATGTGCGCTTAGGGCACGTGAAGCCAAGCGTAAAGGACGAGGGGTTTCAGATAGGTTCTGAGTGAAGCTGATGTCTACCAAAGCCCTGGAGGCTGAGATCGACTCCCGCAAGTACACACCGGCACACGTATCTACCAAAGCCCTGGAGGCTGAGATCGACTCCCGCAAGTACACACCGGCACACATATCTACCAAAGCCCTGGAGGCTGAGATCGACTCCCGCAAGTACACACCGGCACACGTATCTACCAAAGCCCTGGAGGCTGAGATCGACTCCCGCAAGAACACACTGGCACACGTATCTACCAAAGCCCTGGAGGCTGAGATCGACTCCCGCAAGAACACACTGGCACACGTATCTACCAAAGCCCTGGAGGCTGAGATCGACTCCCGCAAGTACACACCGGCACACGTATCTACCAAAGCCCTGGAGGCTGAGATCGACTCCCGCAAGTACACACCGGCACACGTATCTACCAAAGCCCTGGAGGCTGAGATCGACTCCCGCAAGTACACACCGGCACACGTATCTACCAAAGCCCTGGAGGCTGAGATCGACTCCCGCAAGAACACACTGGCACACGTATCTACCAAAGCCCTGGAGGCTGAGATCCACTCCCGCAAGAACACACTGGCACACGTATCTACCAAAGCCCTGGAGGCTGAGATCGACTCCCGCAAGTACACACCGGCACACGTATCTACCAAAGCCCTGGAGGCTGAGATCGACTCCCGCAAGTACACACCGGCACACGTATCTACCAAAGCCCTGGAGGCTGAGATCGACTCCCGCAAGTACACACCGGCACACCTATCTACCAAAGCCCTGGAGGCCCCAGGCTTACAGTGCAAGCGGAGGCAGCCGATTCCGACGCAACGGCTGGACACCATTCTTGACACCCCTCTCGGATTACGGAAACAAAAAGTGGCCTCGAACATGCCGGCACACTTGCCAATCTCTCAGCAGAACCTCGAGGTGCTGTCGAAGAAACAGGGTATCGGCCCCAGAGTGTACAACTATGCAAAGCGTCTGGTAGTGGAGCTTGCAGACGGCGATGTTGCGCAGATCCACGATGGAATTATGATGGTGGCAACCGCAAGGGTTCAAAAGGAGTGCGATCCGCGGTTTGAGATTCTGCCGGCGGACCAGGCAATCAAACTTCCACTGTACGCCGTGCCTCTGAGCCAGGTCGTAAGCCTGAGACCACATACCAAGGAGTCCTTTGCTGATGCGGTTCTACTCATCCTCCCGGTGTGTTTGGGCGCCAGGCAGGTGTGGCGCTGGCACAGCGGTCATTGGGAGATTCTGGAGACCGTGGCATTCGTACGTGGCTTCGCAGTTCTTCGCTTGGAACATTTTTGCAAGATTGTCGCTTGCGCGGAGTCACCATCCTCTCTTCCAGTGCCACCACCACCGCCGCCACCGCCACCACCACCACCAATGGACGACCTGCAGCTTGGACGGTATGGGAATGTCATGCTGCCGGTTTGTATGTGTCTGCGAGTTGTAGAGTTGCTGCAGGACCTATAGTGAACCCCAGAAAGTTGGAACATGGATTTAGGACGGTTAGTGCTGGAATTCCCTATGAATTACTTTCAGGGCACGAGGATAATAATGTTCCAACTTTCTGGCTTCGACTGTAAACCCTCATGCCTGTTGAGTTCTACGCTAGGTACTTGCGAGCACCCGCCGACAGCGAGGCGAGCCCTCGTTCGGTTGGAAAGGACAAAAAGGGAGATAGATTGCCCAAAGCATTCCCCTAGTTCAGTAGTTCAGGAATATTCCTGCAATTATTGTGCTGGTCTCATGTGAAGCAGGTTGCAGCTGTGATGCCCGAACACTTCGCCACATCTGCCCGGTTTGGGCCAGGCTCGATCTTGTCATCGCGTGCCGGGTTTCGAAGTTGCTGAACCCTGACCATTGACCCTCATCTGCAAATGTTGTGGAATTGGAGATGGAACCCTGGTAAGGCCACTCGGGATACACCACCGTGTCGGTGCAGGAGCTGTGCCACGAGGCTAGTTGCAGAGCTTCGTGCGAACGGTATCGCTTGCGTTTTAATTGGGCTTTAGCCGTCTGGGCCGGGGAGCCTGTTGCTTTCTCCGTCGGCGGAGCATTGCCGAAGCAGCACTCAGATTTGAGGTTCTGGGAAAAGGGAGGACCCGGGCTGGGGAGGCTGCATGGTCGGGTTGGGGGCATGCGAGCCTAAAGCGGCGGGTATATGACTATACTAAGCAGCTAGCACAAAATGTGTAGAATGGGCGAAGGGGGGCACAGAGGAAATAAGGAACAGCCGAAGGTCTCCCTGACAAAGCAAGCGCAGTGGAGACTTGCAGGCAAACGAAGCAAAATGGTGTAATGGGAATGCTGGGAGAACTCTGAGGGTCTGGGAGGTTGGGGGGGGGGGGGGTGGGAAAAAAGACCAGCAGAAGCAGTACCAGCAGCAGCGGCAGCACCACCAACAACACCACCAGGACCAGAACCACGACCACGACGACGGCGACAACAAGGACAACAAGGACAACGACATGGACAACGACAAGGACAACCACAATTTCAACAACCACAAGAACCACAAGAACCACAACCACCGCAACCACCAGCACCACAACAACCACAAGAACCACAACCACCGCGACCACCACAATCACCACAACCACAACCACAGCAACAACCACAATCACACCCACAACATCCCACCACCACCACCACCACCACCACCACCACCACCACCACCACCACCACCACCACCACCACCACCACCACCGCCACCACCACCACCACCACCACCGCCACCGCCACCGCCACCGCCACCGCCACCGCCACCGCCACCGCCACCGCCACCGCCCGCCACCGCCACCGCCACCGCCACCGCACCGCCACCGCCACCGCCACACACGCCACCGCCACCGCCACCGCGCCACCGCACCGCCACGCCACCGCCACCCACCGCCACCGTCACCACCACCGCCGCCGCCGCCGCCGCCACCCGCCACGCCACCACCGCCACCACGCACCACCACGCCACCACGCCACCACGCCACCACGCCACCCCGCCACCCCCACCACCACCACCACCACCACCACCACCACCACCACAACAACAGCAACAGCAACAGCCAACGCAACCAAGCAACCGACGCAAGCAACGACTCAAACGGCAACAACGGCAATGACAACGACTACGACAACCACAGCCGAAATGGCAACGACAACGACAAGCACAACCAGGGGATGCGAAGAGGCCAAGTCTAATTTTACACCGAAGCCTGGGCCTTGGGGGGGCTATCTGCCCCAATGAAACCCACACCTGTGCAAGAGCATGCTGATAACAACCGTATCTCGGCTCTGTCGCATCATCCAACAATCTATAGCTACGATATCTCACAAAAATGCGAATGCCCGTGGCCGTAACAAACCTGTCAGCCTGTCAGACGTTGATAATTGACACCATCAAACACACAACGTTCGCAAGTCCTGCAGGTGCTGCCGCCGCCGCCCCCGCAGATGCAGCCGCAGCCGCCTGCACCTCCCCTTGATCATGCTCCGACGTACGTTCCTCACCCTCCACCACCACCACCGGTACCACCACCAGGAGGCAGCCGCCGATCGAGGTTTGTGTAAAGGGAGCTTGGACAACATGTCTCTTCATACTCCATCTATGTGAATCTCGATTGACTCTGAGGGACCTGAGTCTGAGTAAAGTCCATAACTGAGCCAAGCTGTGTTGCTCCTACCATGTTGGCTCTAGCCACCTGCTTGGTCCTGCCCATCTTCCTGCATGTCAACCCCTAGTTGGGTTGAGCCTAGTTGAGCCCTTGTCGGCGGAGTGCGAAACAGATTCTGGCGCTTCAACTCCCAACCAAATCCGAAGCACCTACACGAGATGCAGCTGGCAGGAGAGATCAGAATTACAGCTTGGCTCTTAGTTGAGTTCTGTGCCGGCGCTTGCCAGAGAGGAGGGCGGCTTCTAGATGTGCTATAGGATATGAAGAGCTCGCTGGTCTGAAGGCTAAGACAACAGCGCATTAACAGAACATCTTGCCGGGATATTACCGTGGAGAGCTTCCGTTTAGGCTCCTTTTCGTGTGAAGGATGTTGCATGTCTTGGGATGCGGATGCTCTCGGTTCAAATTCTGACGAGTATATATTGACTCTTCAGAATTCGTCGGTGATGCGCGAGTCGAGGCACCTGAATACAGTTACACGGATCGCGCGTCCCTGGTGCAGTACATCCAGGACTCCGACATCAAACTAGCGGCTTGACCGTCATTCTGTTTTGGCTTTAATCCACCCTCTGAGTACTTGGCGGATTTGATCTAAGACTTCGGGCAACTCGGCCTCAGGTGAAGGGCAGCTATTTTCTCGACTTGCAGAGGGCAGGCCGCTCGCTCCCCAGGCACCTCGGCATGACTACGCCATGTCGGAAGAAGCCGGAAAGGTGGCGTGGGCGGAGCATCAAGCCCAGTAAACCTAAGCGGCTGAACTCCCTAAGGCGTCAAGATGCACCTGCTGATGCCTTCGTTGCAAACCCGGCTGATTGTGACGTGATCTATGCTGTATCCCATGCATGGGAAGCGAAGGATGCTGAGTAGCATGTGCGATGAGGCAGTTGTTTAGAGCTGTTGTTTCAGGGTTCCGGGCTTCGGGCATGTATGATCGGAAGAAGATTCGAAGAGAAGTAAGATGTGGTCTGATCTGTGGCGCACTGTCAATGCCGGGTAGGAGCACGCTGACCCGTTTGGCCAGCAGCTGCAGCTTCTCGCGGACTTCGTGCAAGAAAACGGCACTCGCAACTCTGGGTTCTTCTTCGATCAGACCTCGATCTATCAGTTCAGGCGCTCTCCCGAGCAAAATGAAGTCTTCAGCCGATGTATGCGGAACATGCAACTGCTTTATGCGCATCAATCAACAATCGTTCTGCGTATCACGGAGCTGGCAGACGAAGCTGTCCAGCAGACACGCAGATATCGCGAAGTGCCAGTTTATGATCAGAATTTGTTCCTACCTCAGAACAAGAGCGCACATAAGCTGGAGCAGAATAGAGTTCCTTACCACCAGCGCGGGTGGTGTTCTGCCGAAACACAGTGGGCAGCGTGTGCCAACAGCATTACGCTGTCTCTGCCCGTGCGTCTCGACGATCAAGGGCGACCCAGAGAAAGGACTGGAGTGGCCCCTATGCGACCTCGCGATTTCGAAGCGCTCGCTGCAGGGCTACGCTTTACACACCGCGATGCCGACATGAGCCCAGTGGTCACTCTTCAGAAAGAGGTCTATCAACGGTTAGCTTCAAGCTGCGAAGAGCTCACTCTGGCACACATGCCTGCAGCACAAATGCTTATACTGGCAGATTCTTTGGGCGACATGATGCACTTGCGAAGGCTTAGCTTGAAGAACTGTGAGCTGACAGTCGACGGCATGGAGAGGCTGGCACGCAGCCTGGGGGGCCTCACAGCTTTGAGCATCGAGCACAGCTGCTGCAGTGATGGGGTTCTCCGCGCGCTGATGGAGGTGCGTCTCGCATCACACTTTTGCGGAAGCATTCGGCCGCAAATGCTCACCATGTTCACTATGCTGTAGTATGCTTACCAGTGTTCAATGATTTGCTGTTAACTTGCGGCAGGATATGCAACAGGGAGCTCTTCTGGAAGAGCTTGATCTACGCATGAATGAAGTCGGGCAGAGCATGGCTGAGATTCTGGCACAGGTGCGCAGACCATGTCAGAGGAATTGCCAACAGCCTAAGCCCTAAACCCCTGTCAGTTCTGAGCTTTCGAGGTGCAGATGCCCGAGCATCTGACGACGATCAAGTTAGACCACGAACGCATCGCTCGCATCTATGATGACCTTCAGGAGGTGGGCCTGCATGATTCCGCGTGGTCGCGGCATTGCGTATTTGGGAAAGTCTCGTGCTGAGGTGCTCCGAAGCAAGGGCGTGACGCTGATCACGACATCGTGAATTTCACCATGAGTTTCCAGAATGTACAGGGTGTTCAACGAGAGCTGTTCAAAGCAAGCGCTCTCCACACCACAGGAAAGGTGAGTGAGGTGCCATGACTTCGTCAAGGCCCGGGTCCCTTACCACTGGTCGCATCACTGTTGTGCCATGTTTGTGCACGTTTGCTGTTAGTTTCTACTGATGTTGCCTTGATTCATTCACTGAACATACGACTGCAATCGGGGGGCCGGGGTCAAAGTCTCGGTTTGTGGCTTTGTTTCGTCGTACCACCCCCGGTGAGTTTCCAGCAGAAATCCGCGATGCAGAGCAGCTGATTGCCTGGGGTGTGGCGGTCACGGGTTCCAGGGTGTAGGGTTTGGGGCATCACCAACCCTGTAACGCCGTGTGCTTCGCTACAGAGGCAGCAGCAGTCTCAAGGGCAGTTCGAACTATTGAACACACCTGCTTGAACCGGGGTATGCCGCCTGGCTGTCCTTTTCTTTTGACTTTCAATGGTCATGGGCCGAAAAGCCTGCAATCCGAGCAGTTGTAGCTTCTTCCGAGCCTTTGGCGCACCTCAACCCTCAATACCCTCAGTTCCGATCCCTGGACCCATTTTGACCCCGACCTCCTGTGTCCCTGTGGTTAGACTTTTGGGCGTTAGTCCCCAGGCGGCAGCTTTAGCACAAATGACTAAAACACACCGTCTCGTGATGCTGAGCAGAAGGAGCTGCTGCGGGCAGCACTGCCCTCCCGGACTGACTTTACGTCATGTGGCTTGGTTTCTGACTTCAGATCCGCAACCCTATTAGCAGCGGCCGTTGTTACAAACAGTAGCCAGGATAGATGGCACAGCAACGCGACGCAGTTCAGAATGGAACGTGTTTAGGCGGTGAGACGAGTGCATTTCGAGGGTAGCCTATGGCGGTGCGGCTTATCGAGCGACTACCAGGTATTCCGTGCCAGCAAGTGTGACACCATCGAATCTACAACATCGCGCTTGGCATTGTAACTCTGCCTATACTCGCGGTCTGAACCCTGGAACCCTCACCGCGCACTGCTAAACCCCGAAATGCAAACAGAGAACCTGAAGCTCCGCACCTGAAGCCCAGCGCCCCAGAAAACCTGAGCCCGAAGTGCCACATCCTCAAAGCAAAACCCTTACGCGAACCCGAACCGTTTACATGCGAGCCCGTCACCCAAGACCGACGATGGCCCTGCAAACCTGTGAAGTGCGTCCAGCCTTTAAGCCCTTGCCGTAAACCCTATAACCTCGTAAACGCAGACTTGATCCTCAAGCAAGACCAAACTGAGCCCGAAAGCCTCGGCCCCAACCCAGGCAACGCCATGACCCAATGAGAGCCATCAAAGCGGGAAGGAAAAAGGGGGAAAGAGAGCGGAAATAATCTGCTGCAGGATTTCAGGTTTAAGTTTTATGGCATTTGGTTTGGGCTTTCGTAATTAGATAGTCAGCGTTGTGGACTCAATCAGGGGGCAGTATGCATGGGTGTGGCGGGGTTGAACCCACCCTAAAGCTCAACCGGAGTTGACGGTGGTTCACGCGGTGTTGCAGATCTTTGAAAGGATCTTTCGGGCAGCGATAGGTTCTGGAGTTGTCCGTGGATGTGGTCTTCGGAACTGGGGCCCTTGGCTCCACAAGCCGCAAAAGGGTTCGTACAAGTAGCATACATTACAGGCTTTGCGTGGGTGTCTATCCCACGTTTGGGTGACCAGAGGAGGCTTGCGGTGTTGATTTGAAGGCTTTTGTGACTTGGTAAGTCCAGGCTTTTCCCGTATAAACGACCAGGCTCGTGACCCCAACAACTCCAAGCATTTTCTCCAAGGGTAAAAGGAGGGACCCTTGATAAGGACCCTATAGGTATATACCCTTACTTAATATTATGGCTATTATATACCCATTATATAGCCCATTACATATAGGGTAGGGGTCCCCATTAAGGGTCCCTCCTTTTCCCCTTGAATTTTCGAAACGCCCAATATTTCCAGGCCTTGCGACATGTAAGGTCTCAGTCCTTGACCCCCATCTCATCCCATCTCTAAGCCCTAGACACTACAAAGCCTAAATCTGCCTGAAAAGAGGGTTTAAAAAACAAAAAAAGCCTAAATCCGAAAACCTAACCCCTAAGTTCAATCCTGGACCGCGGATCACGAACAAACGCAAGGACCTCATTCACTTTCCAAGGCCCAGATCTCTTGCTGATGGCTGGTCACAGCGGCATGGACCAGGTGGAGCATGCTTGGTAGGGTTGTAGAACAGCTTTAGTGAGGTGTAATGATGGTTTTACAGCGTTTCATGTCGTTCTTATTTACCGTGAGCAATGGCATGCAACAACCTGGTTACGGTCACTGTATCAATATACCAGAGTATGGCCGAGGCCTTTTGGTTGTGGGGTCTGCGCTTGGAGTTGCTGTTGCTCTACAGTCTTCCGAAAGCCTTATTATAGTATTAGTAGGAAAGCTAGTCCCTTTTGGTGGCCCACAGGTTAAGCTGTAGTTTCCGGAAGAAGCTGGGCAAGTAAGAACCAAGCTGGAAGAGTCCTAGCAGAGGAGGCAATGATGCCAGCAGGGAAACGTGTCACAGCAGAAGATGGGTCAGTAGTGAGGCCAGTGGCAAAAATTCTTCATCGTCGATGAGAAGGAGAATAATTCCTTGCAAGTATTCGCGATAGATATTATTCACAAGCTTGATAGCCGAAAGACTCAACTCGTTTCTGTAGGAGGAGTTTTCTCCCGAAGTTGTCAGCACTACTCCTCAGCTACCGTCTACGAACCCTAGAATCCTAAAGCCGAAGCCCCTATAATCCCATAAATCCTAAACCTCACACCGCAACCCTGCTCCGCTGCGCAGGACAATGTCACACTTTCTGTGATCAACATCCTGGTCTTTCTGGCTTTTGTGCTGGAGGCCATCTGCCCTTCACCAAAATGGCTAGAAGTCTGAACAACCACAAAACCCCATACCCGAAGGCATCAAAACTCTAAACCCTAAGTTATGAGAATAGAATTAAGCGAACCCTTACTTCGCGGATTTTGCTACCGAAGGGTCGGATCTGCGCAAGGTCCAGGTAGGCCCCTTGAATGTCAGGTTTCAGAATTAAGGATCTGTGTTTTAGGGTTTAGGTCTACAGCTTCGAGGTGTTCCGGGCATCAACGAAGTACGGTCCCTAAGCTGTAAACCTAAAGGCCTATACACTTTAACCCCAGAAGCCTGAATTACTAAATCGGGAGGGCATGGTGCAGGTGCAAGCCCTGGCAGTCTAGGCTTCAGGGTTTCGGGTTGGTCTAGTTCAGGGATCTGAATCATGCGTAATAAGTTAGAAGTGGCTCGTGTAGTCCGTAAATGGTTCCAAGCATCAAGGTCCTCAGGTTAGTTTCAATTGTTGGTTCATGTTCCTTCTTTTTTCGTGTGGTAATCAGGATTTGGAAATTAGTTATGGTCTCGGCTTCGGTTTCGGGGATTTGTGGATTTCGCGGCTTCAGAGCTTTGGTTTCCATTGTATGGGTCTCTTGGTTTCCAAGTCCGCCATCCTTGCGCTGATGCCCTTGATATTTTTCGTGTCACCACACCTGAAGTACTAGCAGCAAGTTTACGCTTTGTGCCGGGGTTACTGGAGACGTGGGTCTGTGGCAACACAGAAGACTTTATCACACAACTTGTTTACAATTTTGGGATGAAGCCGTCAACCCCTCAACCCCAAATCCTCATAGGCATATTGTGTTCGCGCAGCACTGGTGGGCGGGTCGCCTGTTCTGGTCGTGCGGCCGCCTAGGGCAGCCCTCTTGGATCTTCATGCCAATTAGCAATTCGGTGATCTGCCAGAGCCCCGGTAAGTTCCGCAGTGGCTTATCCGAAGCCATAGCTACTTGCATGCCGGGGGCGGCCTGCATTGGCGAGCCAACAGTAACAGGGTAAGACGATCTTCGCGGGTGGAAGAGGGACGCTCGAGGAGAAAGCACAGCGGTTCACAGCATGCGCGACACACCCTAAGCCCTTCAAGATGCTCTTAGGCCCCGAGCCTGAACTCTCAACCATAAACCATAAAAAACGAAGAAGCCTTAAACACCGAAAGCTCAAAAGCCAGAATCTAGAACACCATCACCACCCAAAAACAGAACCAACAAAATCCAGAGACCGCCGACCCTCGAAAGCTTTGACGGCTCGCCCAAGCCGTAAACACGTCGACCCTTGGGCCTCAACACAATGAGTTATACTGGACGAAACGGCCTCGGTCGTTCGGGCTTCCTCAATGTGTAGGGAAACCAGGGGTTCAGGGCCCAAGCTTGGCGTTTCATTTCCCGATTTGTCAATCGATCTCAAAGGGTTTCGGGCTTCTTGGCCTTTTAATAACAAAGAAGGCTCATCAAAACCCTTGTGGAACCCTTATAGGCCCTGTTTGGAGCCCTTTGGTTTTCATAGGAAGCCGCTTGCAGGAGACCCTTATGTGCTGGGTCGTGCACGACTATCTCTTCTCCCTCCGTTTTTTCATGGACTCTTGCCGCTTCCCAAGACTGAGAGACGTAGGCTTAACGGGTTTGGGGTTTCGGGCTTGTGGAGTAAAGGGGTTTAGGGGTTTGGGATCGAATCACGGCATTGCCTTTAGGGGTTGCAAGCGTCATCTGTATCCAGACTGCTTCTCGGATCAGGGAGCAGGTCTATTTGCTGGAGGTTGACAGTGACGGTTGATGATATAAATCCTGCATTACCTTCAGGACCCTAAACTATGGGAATTATGGTATATTCCTTATTATGGGTCATGCAGGATTTATACCATCAACCGGATGAATGTGTAGGTACGGAGGTTTCCAGAGGCCAGATCTTGCGAAGTGCTCAACTGCAGTTACACTCATGCACTTGAGCACCCTCACAGACGTTCTCTTGGTCCCACGGGTAGGAGACCAGTACGATGGTGTCTCGCCGAGTCATGGGTTCAAAAGTTGGCCGCCCGACCTCTGCGGGTGCACTTTGCAGCAATGCAACCCAGGTATTCTACTCTTGTGCCTATCGGATGTGGTGATGTGGTGTCAGCTGACCTGGGCGACCGGCTGCCCAAAGTCTCGAAGACATGCATGCATAGATCATGAGGAAAAGGACAAGGCTTCGAGCAGCAAGGGGCAGTGGCTCCGCCATCGCGAGGCTTTGCAACAGCTGCGTTGCAGGAAGGGAGGATGCCCCGTTCTTGCCATTGTCAGAAACCAACACTGTCCTACATGCCTTCAGTAAGCAAACGATGCCCCGCATGTGGCTCCTTCTAGTACGCCTACCTGCCTGAAGATTATTCTCTTTCTAGCCCACACATTTCAAGAATGTCTAGCAATGCAGTCTGCTGCGACTCGACTTGCAGGTCAATCCAAAATCCAGTCATAAATACCTTTTCACCGTGGGGGTGTAAATTTCAGAGGTTCTGGATTTCTGGGTTGGGGTTTGGGATGTCTCCGGTTTTGTGCGCCTGTGTTTAGTGAGTGTTTGCATGTGTTCGCTCTCGAGTTAGAGAAACCCCGAAATCAGGAACGCCGTGTGAATCGCAACCCTTTCTCAGGCAGCCTTAAAGTCCTAGACTCCTAGACCCTGAAACCATAAACCCTATATGCAGTGGTTATAGCCCAAACCCAGGTGCCTAACCCAAATTATGAGGTCCCATTGAGCCCCAAACCCTCAGCTCCAGGCCCAAATGCCAAAAAGTGACTGGAACACTTCTAGGAAGCGTTGTAGAACTCTTATAGTGACCCTTATAGTATAGTAATTCGTATATGGCAACCCCTGCGGGGCTAGAGTTTTGGGTTTAGGGTTCCTTTCTAGGAACCCTCACGGTTGAGGGTTCCTTTGTAGGAAGCCCAGACTAAAAGCCACAAGCCTATTGTTGCAAAAAGACATATTTCAGGAAGCGCCCTGTCCTTTGACGGTATCCTGTACTAAGTAAGGAATAGATTCCCAGTCCTTTAGCTTGGAAGCCTAAGCCAAGAGTACTGTTTCAACTTTCAGGCTTGTGCCAGACGCTGCCTAAAGTAGAGCCCTTGGAGTACCTCTTATGAAAACGAGCAGTAATTCTTCTAGCAACTTCGAAGCCCTTGAGCCCAAGACCTGCTCCACCTTGAGGTCTTTTGGTTCAGTGTTTGGGGTTTAATTTGGTCCTGCCCCTACTTGTGGATCCAAGTCGCCCCCGCGTTGAAGTTGAGAACCTCTGGTTCCGGGGTCAGAACCTGCTGTTTGGTAGGGCTTGGGGCTACGCGCAGTCGTAAATATCGTAATCTTCCCCAGAGTCCAGCACTCTGAGTGTATGTATGCACTGTAAGAAGAAGCAATCCTTAATATGTAAAAAAGTCTATTCACTAGTCATGTGGGGCTCCTCCACCAGCCCGGAAAAGCCCCGAAACAAGCACGAACAGCAGCACTTCTTAACAACAGGGGCCCCTCCCGATACCCTAAACCCCCAACCCTACACCCCTGAACCCAGGGAGGGCCGAACACCGAAGCCGACATCCTGACCCCTTATAGACTCCCTGAATACCCTCGGCCGGGACCCTCTCCTCGAAGCCCCAAGCGCGTAAATGTCGACACAAAGGTGCCACTCTGAGCATCCTTGGAGACACCGCGGCCGTGACCCCAGGGCTGCACTGTGCGGTGTGTTTGCAAGTTTTGTTGTTGGGGTGGGGGGCTTCAGGCGTTTTAAGGGGGTGATTATGCAAGGAGTCTTCAGCGGTTTCATACTGGTAAGGTCGGAAGCTGCTTAGGTTCCTTGGGCTCTGACTGAGGGTTCTTGAGTTTTGTTTGGGGAGAGGGCACGCCAGAAGCTGGTGTTGCTCTCATTTCGGGATTGGGATAGTCGTATGCATGGTACTAGTATTTTTGGGAATTCGCATATAGCATTGGTACTGACTTGAAGTCTTCTCAAGTAATGGGCCTGCTACCGTCGACAAGACTCTTAAACCCAAAACATTAAGAAGCCAAGACAACCCCTACACACAGACTGAACCCTGAACCTCAGAAACCCAACTTCAGATCGTCGCGGAGATCATCAACACGGATGCAGCGGTGGCCATGAGGAGCCCGGGGTCTCCAAAATGATGATCTTTCCGTTCTAGAAGGGTTCATGAGGGTCTTCAGAGGATTTCAAGGCTCCCAGAATCCAGGTGTTCTTCATGCAGTGGGAGTTCGGGAAAGTGTTTGAAGGTATTTCTGGAGTTTTTCAGAAGGGTATTGCTTCCTCCAAGGATTCTTTTCGGCGGGGTTGAGGGTTTCGGGCCCGGAGCCTCGAAATCCTCGTGTTCAGACATCGACAGAAACCGTGAAGTTCCATGGGTCTCTACAAAACAAAGCCCAGAAAATGGGGACCTCTAATACATGTCCCCCATAGATCCCTTCGAAGATCCTTTACATGTGTTTCCTGGTGGTTTATCTGGACTAGAAGGGAACACCTTACGAACGATTCAGAGCCCCCTCAAAGCCTGGAACCTTCTCGTTGCCCACAGGAGTTCGGGCGTCTCGCGTGCGATGCGCGGCGCCGGCAGAAGCACCCGCCCCTCGGCCGAGAATTCTCAACTCTGCTGGCTCAAAGCATATGGGTGGTTGTCAAAATCATGGTCCCTTTTGGATCCTTATTATAGTACGGCACCTAATATTTAGGGTTCCCAAAAAGGGACCATAATTTTGACAACCACCCATGTAGAATTTGGGGGTTTCCTTGCGTGGGTTCAGGTTTAGAGCTGTTAGGATTAGGGGTTCAGGGTCTAATCAGGTGTGCAGTAGCTAGGGCGGTAACACCGGGATTTCAAGCATTGGTGTGCCTTCAAGGCTTTCGGGCTTAGGGTTGAGGCCCCTTGTCAGCGGCTTATACGAGTTTCTTACATAAGAGGTTTATAGTTCGTACAATTGTTTTAAGCTTCTCTGACGCTGTCATGTCGGTGGTGTTCCGTCATAGAGCAGAGTGTGCAGTATAGGCTATGGGCTATGGGATTTGAAGGTTTACGTGTGGTTGATGTAGGGCTTCATTGCTGTCATGAGGGGCTGATAGGGTTATTCCGGCAATCTCCGATCCTGTACTTAAGGCTCACTTTGGGATTTTCTTGAGCTAAGCTCGGCTTCCGGTTCTGCCAAAGGTGCTTAAGGCAACACCCTTGTCTATGAGAAAAGGGACCTCCGAGCTGCATGAGTTTGAGTTTAGGTGGGGGTACTACTTAGGGTCTAAGCCCTGCACCCTAGCTATTGTCATCCTACGATGGATTCGCGTGTCAGACATTCAGATATTTAGGACCTATCCGCCGCTCTTTGGCACTGTTCTGGGGTCTTCAGTCGGTTTCGTGGGGCTTTGAGGACTTATACGAGGCCCCGGTGACTGGCAAAGGACTCCGTGTAACCATCTGGCATATTGGGTTTTGTAATGATTTATAGACTTAATATAGATTTCTCACATCATTGCACAGACTTGGTCCAGCCTCACCCTGAACAAACCTTAAACCCTAATGGAACCACAGAAAATGGAGCTGTCTGCACAACCCCAAATCCTTTTGAGGCTGTATAGCGAAATCCTTGAGAATGCCAGTGACCCAAACCCTTCTCGGGTTCCGAAGCTTGCGCCCCGAGCCATGAACCTTAGGGCCTATAGGCCTTAATCCTTGACTCTAAGGCCTTAAATGCCCTAAAGCCGGAAGCCCTGAGGCTTCATTAGTATTCTTCGGGGCCTCCGCGTGTGGCAGGTGCGCACATGACAGGGGTCGTGGTTTAGGGTTTAGGGAAGTTCTAAGGGTTTGCCTAAGTAGTCGGAGTACTTTTCATGCTTCCTTTCTGGTCAAGGCCGATGCTGTGCGATTCTGTGATGAAGTGCCAGCTAACGATTCGGGGTGCAGAGGTTCGGGTTTAGGATTTGGGAGGTTTGGGGATCGGGTGTTTTTTGTTTACCTTGTTGAAGTGTTGAAGTTGTGTCCAGAAGCCGGCAGTAAGCTCGCAGAGTCTCAGACGGTCTGTGTTGGGATTTGCGTGGTGTCTGGAGAGACACTGAACCCTCGACCCTAACATGTTCGAACTTCAAGCTCGTCTTAGCAACGGTTCCAACATTACATGGAAGTACGTACAGGTTGTGCTAGGGTATTGTTGAGTGTATCATTATAAAGCCCCTTCGGAACGCTGCTGAGTGTATACTTTGGGTGCCGAACATCGCATTGCCAGTATTGCTTCCAGACGATGTCTGGAAAAGGTGTGTGATGTTTCTACTGATGGTGGGCAAATCCTGTATTATTTCAGAAATCTCCACCGAAAGACAGATTCAACTTTGGTATCTGTCAGGCCTTATGCAGGATTCTTATCCCCCTGAAGCCTGAACGCTTAAACTCGAGGTAACTGGATGGGAGGTACTGATAGACTAGGATGCCCAGTAGTACCCTTATTCCCTTTTTCTAGTCCTAGGTTCCTTACAAAGTTACCCTATACCAAAAAGAGAGGCCTTTTTATTCCTAGGTTACTGGGTATCCTAGTAGAGAACATCGCCGACCTGTGGCCCGAACGGGTCACAAACTGCGTTTTTTTGTACAGAGTTTGTTTGTGGTTTTGTGTTTTACTACAGGGGCCTCACGAATTCCCTATACTATTTGGGGGGCTCCTTCTTATAATTTTAGTATAACGGGCCCCAAAACCCTATTTCAATTATCAAGGCCCCTGCATTCTGGTTGCTCGCAACCCCGACCGTAGGCCCTCCGATCCAAATTCCTGGCAGATCCTTAAGCTGCTGCCGCGGCTGCAGCGGCTGACGGCCAGCAGCACGCGGAAGCTCGCCATGCTGCGCGGGCCCCGGAATATCCGTGCGAACCCTAAACCCCTAAACCCTAAACCCCTGCACCCTCAACGCCTGAACCCTAAACCCTAAACCCCTCAACTTACCTGGCTCTTGAATTTTGAGGATTCGGGAGTCGGGCTTGGGAGGTTGGGGCATTTGGGTCCGGGGTACAGTGCTACGGAGTCGGGTTCTTTCTGGTCATCGAGGGTTTGGCATACCCTCAACCTGAGACCCTGCTAATGCAGGGGTGTATGGCTTGGGGTTTTTATGGGTTGTATGGCTTCGGGGGGTGACGTTTGGCGTCGACGAGGCTTGGCGGTGAAAGGTTTCCAGGCACTGTTACGGCCGGAGTTTTGGGGTATACTATGCCCAAAATATAGTGGCAATAAGGGGATACGACTATTGTAAAGCTATTTATAATTGAAACGCTGCGCGTCGTCCGCCTCGGCCCGGCTGTACGCGCATGCGGCGAGTGGCTACTATCTGCAGCAAGCTCTTGTAGGAAAAAAGTAACAGTTGGAATCGCACTTATAGTAAAAGTAATGTTCATAGCAACACGAAGCAGGATGATTGTGAGTAGTATTAGTAGTGGTAGTATCAGTACGAATTTTGGTGTCGTCATTCCGAAACACTGGATACCAAGACTCTCGCAAGCGGCGGGATGCCTTAAGTATGGGCCGTTGAGGCTGTGCGTCTTGGATTAGGGAAGCATCACAGCCTTTTCAACCACGTTAATCCGCCTATCCCAACGAAAGGGTGTCTAAAACAAGCCTGAGACGTATATAAAGATGCTACATTGCAGTCCCGTGTCGTCGAAAACTCCAGAAAGCTCGCACCTGTCAGCGAGCGGAGGAGGGGCGGGAGGTACAGAAAGCCAAAATCCACTGGAGAAGGCGAAAATTCACCGCCGGACCTTGGGGCTCATCGACACGTTTCCATTTTTTAGGGGGGGGGGGCGGTGGCCAGGATTTTGGGGTGGGGTCACTGGGGAGGGGATTAAGAGGTGGGGAATAGGAGAATCCGAATAGGAACCTCTGACCGCTTCGGCCGGGGCCGAGGCGAATAAAAATATCCAGGCCCCCAAAATGGGTTTTATTCGCGGAGCTTCCACTTTTTGTTTCAAGCCCGGGCATGTCGGGTATGGTGTGGGTGGAGGGGTTCTTGAAATTACAGTGCCTTGAGTCGGGGTCCTTGCAATAATTCGGACCCTGTTCTTTTGGCTTCTGGCAGTCGGCCGTTCAGTTGAATGGCTTCGGGAGGGCTCTAATTCGGTCCCAGCTCTTTGAGGGTTCAGGGGTTTCAGGGTTTAGGCTGCTGTAGACCCCTGCTGAGGAAGCCCTTCTTGAAAGACTATCATCAATTCAGTGGTTCTCAAAATGATGGTCCTTTTTGGGGTATCCTAAATATTAGGTGCCGCATTCGAATAAGTACCCCAAAAAGGGACCCTAATATTGACAATCCCCCATTTGCCTCCAAAGCCCGAAGGACGTCCGGTGATTTCCAGCGAGCGGGGGAAGTCCACCAGCACAAGATTTACGGGATACAATTCCCCACCCAGTCTATCGCAGCTACGGTTGAGGTTTGGCATACCTGCATTGATGACCCCCGAGCCCTGCATCTTACCAGGGTTTAGGGTTTGGGGTTTGGGGATGTCTGCTGTTCCACTTCGCGACCCTGAAATGCAAACTGCCGGCGAAGCCTCAGGATGTGGCAGAAGCGCATGCAGCACGTCATGGGCGTGGCTCTTCCATGTCATTGTCCCTGCCTCTACAAAATCTTGGGAGATAGCAAACAAGCCCGAGAATCTCATTTCTAGAAGCTTCACGAGCACAAGGACCCCCAAGATGCCTGCAATCGTCCCCTTTGAGGTCTGGGTTTGCTGAGCCGGAGTGTCCATTAATTTTCGTTTGGGGGTAGGGTCACCGGCATAGGAACGGATCTTGTTGCAGGATATAAGTTCAAAGTCACCCCAAACCGTAAATCCTGGCGCTTGGGGCCAAGAACTCAAGCGGGGTTTCCGGCATGGATTTGGGTTTAGTTCATGGGTACTTGTAAGTAAGTTGCAAGGAACTTACAGCTATCGCTACTTCACGGACACGCAAAGTTACCAGGTCCCCTGATACTTGACGACTGCACCCAACAGCGACTAACGGGTCCCTCTCTGCTGGAAGCAAACAACTATTCCGGTCGAGGGTGCAGGCTTGAGGGGGCCGGTTTCTGGACATGAACATGAGATTCGTGATTCTAGTTGCTGTCCACGCTGGAAAGCCTGAAGCCATGCCCTAATAGAGCCCAAGACCATCCAAAACCCCTGAAACGAAAAGGCCATACCCTAAGGTCCTGAAGGCCTAAAGCCTGGTGAATGGTTGGCTTCTATAATAATACTATACTATACTATACTAATGATACTAGACTATAACAATATTATACTATACTATAATAGTATTTTTGAGACTGTGCTCGAACTCTGTCGGCTTTGGCTTCGTGTCTCCTGCGCGCCAGTACATCGACAAAGAGGGTGCAGGCGATCTTTCAGATGCTCAGCGGCACCGGGTAAAGGGAACTCCAGAAAGTTGGAATATGGTTTCAGGGTAGGATACCCTATAGATTACCATAAAGGGTTTAGGATAATCATATTCCAACTTTCTGGCTTTTACTTTATAGGATTGAATTCCTGAATCCCTGAAATCTGCACGAAACTGCGAAATCCTAAACCCGCAACGCCTCAACCCTGCCCAAGCTCAGTGCAATCTCTGGTTATACCAAGCTTTAGGGCATGGGGTCGCAGTGGTGGATTGGTGGTTTAGCCAGTGAGTAGTCAGTAGTCACTCGTTAAACTCAGTAGTCGTCCTCCCCTTTGTCGTGTCGGTAGCTGGTAGTATCCGAGCGTCCCGTTACTGTTGTCGTCTACCTTTTCTTCTGCTGCCAAGAAAGTTGATGGTATCAATCCTGCATTACCCATATAAGACATATACCATAACTGTCATAGTCTAGGGGCATCCAGGTAATGCAGGATTCATGTCAGCAGCCGTAGTATTCTGAAAACCACAGCGCTGGAGCCCATCCTTCATTGTATGTGCAACTTTGTGGCAGCCTGCAGTCCAGCAAGGCCCCTCCATGTACCCTAGTATAAGTATCTTCGTGATCTGTCTTGTATGGTTCTGTCAGTCCGAGTGCCTGTCTGTATGCATGCATACATACATATATATATATATATATATATGGGTGGTTGTCAAAATTAGGGCCCCTTTTTGGGTCCTAGTATCTAGGGTACCCAAAAGGGGTACCATAATTTTGACAACCACCCATATATGTGTATGTATATACACATATGTATATGTATGCATGTATGTATGTATACATACACACCATTCGTTCAAGTCAACATGCCTGGGCATCATATCTGTGCGTGTGTTTGTCAAACTAACCAGGAATCAGCCACAAAGCCTTCAAAAACCTGCATAAACTTGTACAAACCCGACAAACAATTTCAGCACTAAAAGCCAGCCCTAAACAAAGGGACAAGCCCTTTGTAAATCGGTCTTAAAACCCTGCAACACCGGATCCAGCTTGCTTGCACCCGAAACCCCTAAACCCTGAAGCCTTAAAGATCCAAAACCCTAAAGGCCCTGAGTTCTTTGCCAAACCGCCTCGTTGCACTAAGGAAGAGGACTTCGACTTCTTCACTGCGGCGCGAGCCTCGGGCGTTCGGTCTGTCGTAGGGCTCGGACTTTCGCGCATCGGCAGTTTCGGCGCTTTACTCGCAGGGCTTTACAGGAGTTCATAAGGGTTGAGGGTCTTACTCTGCTTTTTAGAGGGTCTTGATGTAGATAAGGGCGGATAGGGTTGAGTTGCGCCTTAGAGGGCTTTCTAAGGTTTTACACCTGGTAATGCCAGGTTTTGTAAGAGTTTAAGAAGTATGGAGGCCAATGCCCGGTAGCTGTGAATTAAGCCCCTAGCTGGCCCGAACCCTTAAACCCTAAGGCCCTAAAATCTAAAGCCCCTAAACCCCTCAACCCTAAACCCAAGGATGAACCCCTCAATCGGAGCGGTGTGTCGGAAGTTCAAGAAATTTTTGTGCGTCGCACAACACCGCAAGCTGATCGCAAAGCCTGCCAAGCCCCCGCCACAAAAAGATGCATCAGTAGTGCCGAGATTTGGAGGGATAGCCTTGATTTCAAGGGATGTTCTTTCCAGATATTTGGACTTCTGTATGCATTATCGGAGGCCCTTCGACTTCCATTTGCTGTCAGCCTTCCGTCGGAAGACTTGGTTTGGGGTTCAGGGCTTCAGCTCAGGAAGGCCTTCGTTATCACTCCGTAACTGCAAAACATACCGAAAAGTCTGTCAAGGTTTGCCACATACGGGTGGCCAAGCCCAACAGCCTCAACCCGATTGTTCCCTAGGACCCAGAGTAGGGCCCTTATTCCCTTTTTAAGGGTTCAGGTTCCCTTATAACCCCCTTTATCCCAAAAAGGGCACCTTTTTTATTCCTAGGCTACTCTTGGGTCTAGTTCCCCAAGTTCCCTGGCAAGATCCCACTGGACTGGTGCGGCTGGGGATTCAAAAGGAACCCAGAGACTCCAATATCCCTTAACTAAGGAATATACCTTCAATTATAGTAGGATTCCAAATATGATTTAAGGAATATTCCCTAATTAAGGGGTATTGGAGTCTCTGGGAAGTCTCAGGTCGACGCAATGACAGCCGAAAGACCGTGATCCCCAAAACTTGACAGTCTGAAACCCGCACTTCAAGGCCATTGTCTTAGTATCTGAGTGGATACACTTTACACCTTTTTGGGGTAATATTACCCAGTATAAAACAGAAAGTGGACACTTTTTGGGGGGCTTGTGAACTCAGCAACTAGGTTCTAGATTCTAGACCTTACCTTAACCCTGAATAACCTACCTTTTAGGGTTCCTTAATATGATTTCCTTATGTAAGTCCTTAAAAACGTAGGTTATTCCGGGTTGAGGTATGCCCTAAACGCAAAACACGATAGAACCGAAGCCCTCAGCCTTCTGGGCCCTGAAATGCCCAAGAGGCCCTGACCTCTAAACTCGATAGCTTACCCAGAGGCTCCATAGTAGTTCCTTTTTGGGATTACCTTTTCGGATTCTAGATATTATGCGCCCCAAAAAGGAACTAATTACTATGGAGCCGTAAGGTAACTAATCTTTCGTTTTGGGGTTCCCTTGGCTCTTTAGCTCCTTATTTAATAGGAATTATGCTCATCAGTGGCTCTTTAGCTCCTCTAATATCAAGGGTTAGATAGACCCGAAGCCCCTTGGGCTTAGTAGCTGAGTAGGTAACCTTTATCCTTTTGGAGTTTATATGGGTGGTTGTCAATATTAGGATCAGTTTTCGGGTCCTTATTAGTAATACGGCACCTAATATTTAGGGGACCCAAAACAGGGACCTTAATTTTGACAACCACCCATATAATCATACCACAACTGAGAAGGTTAACCTTCTTTGGGCTCGGGTGCTCAGCCAGTACTTGGAGGTTCGTGGGTAGTTTCACGTAGGGCTATAAGTCCCGTTATGGGGATTGTAACCATAGTTGCCCTAATGATCACCCCACTTATAACTACCCATGAACCTCCAAGTAGGCCCTAAACCCTTTTCCCCTACAGAATCCCTATAGACCCCTTTAAAGGGATCCTTAAAGGAACCCTTATAACTACCCCAGAACCTCCAAGTAAGTAGGGTGGATCCCAGAAAGTTGGAACATGGGTTTAGGAGGAATAGTGCTAGGATTCCCTATACTTTACCTTAAGGGTATGAGGATAACGATGTTCCAACTTTCTGGCTTCTACTGTAGGGTGTTTCGGAGTTTCTGGGCCCTTTCCAGGCTCTGAAGCTGGAGTTTCCACCACCTCGGGAGGAGGCGCAGAAGGGAGGCTTTAAGGTAAGTCCCTTTTAACAATACACAATATGAATAGTAACAAAATAATAGCAATAGTAATAGTACTGTCTTTACTATACTACAAACAGACATCATCTACACAGGATTTTATAGTGCTTGTTCATGAGCAGGCTCTTAGAGTTTGTCACTGGTTCTACAGACACGATGAAGGCTTTTCAGGGTTGTAAGGCTGGCGGGTTGCATAGAACGCCTTAACACCCCCATTCCATCAGGGCTTCTAAGGGTTCTTCCAGGGTGCAGGGGTTCTTTTTCAAGAGCTTCCACAAGGGTTCTTCGAAGGATATACCTATATGTATGCATGTGTCTATAATAGCCTACAACGTAAAGACGTAGTAGAATATGTGTGCATGTATATATAGATAAGTAATTATGTGTAGATATGTGTATATATATATATGTATATACATACGTACACGTACATACTTATAGCAGCAGGCGGGCTTCCTGAGCTCTCTCGTGGATGGGCTGGCCGAGAGCGGCTACGCCAACTTAGCCTTTCCGGGGCGGCCGGGAGCTCGGTGCCCTCTTTTAAGGTTTAGGGCTTCGGGCTTTTAGGGTTTAGGGTTTCGGGCTTTTAGGGTTTAGGGTTTAGGGCTGTTAGGGTTTAGCAGGGGGTTTAGGTTGTTGTAGGTTTATAGGTTTAGGGCACAGTAGGGTCATTTGGGTTTAGGGTGTAGTAGGGTGTATAGGGTCAATAGGGCTTAGGCAGGGTTCAGGGTACAGTAGGCTTGATAGGGTTTGGGGTTTAGAGTACAGCAGGGTGCATAGGGTTTAGGGTTTAGGGTTTAAACTTTTCAAGGTGCCCTCTTTGAGGTTTTTTTTTGGGGCTGGGGTCGGGGGCTTTAGGCTTTAGGGGCCTTACTAAGTAATTCGAACAGGGCTTGGGCGATGTTATAGTTTGGTGTTTAGCGTTTATTTTTTTAAGGTCCTCTGTTTGAATTTTTGGGGGTGTGGTGGGCGGTTTAGGGTTTAGGGATGTGGTGAGGTAATTTGGGGTGTTGTTGATTCAGGGATTCAAGGTTCCGGGGATTTACGACTTCGGGATCTAGGGCTCGGCTGAAGATTCCTTGGGCTTGGGGTTGTTATGAGGTTTCCATCTCATTCAGGCTTTGCCGGTTCGGCCTTCTGGTGCAGTTAAGGTTTACGATGGTCAGGGTGACGGTTGAGGGGTTTAGGGGCTTAGGGTTTAGGATTTTAGGTACTGTTTTGTTGGAAGGGCAGCTTCTTCTGTGGGTTGTCATGAGGGTCCGACTGTTTTTTGCATGGAACACTCAGGGCTTTGGGTCTATTTCCTTAGAAGGGCAGCCCTGACACTCCTCCAATTGGTTTCGGGATGTCGGGCAAGCGGTTTAAGCAGGGTTGAACCTGGGGTTCACGGTTTAGGTTTCAGTGGTCTGATAAGGTGGCTGTAGTCTCCCCTTTAGTTGTCAACCCCCCCCAAAAAAGTAAAGATAATTATTGAGGCCCCTACATTAGAGCCATTATGTAAATCGCATGCCTTCGTCTCCGAACCCTAGAAGCCCTAAGCCCGTTTATCTGGTAGCTTCTATTGCCTTCAACCTGAACTCCACACTCCGCAATCCCTCAGCATAGTCTCCATTGTAGTTCCTTTTTCTGGTTAACCAATCTTATGGTTAGGATCCTATACTATAGTTTCTGGTTAACAAAGAAAAGAACTACAAAGGAGACTATAGGCAAACCTTACAGCCGATCTGCGCTTCATGCTGAATCTCGCTCCCCACGCAAGGAACAAGGTCAGCCCCTTCAGCCGGTCTTCTTCACGCCGAGTGTCCGAGCTGCATGGGGCAGGATGTCGATATCAGCATCGGGTTTCAGATTTTTTCGGGGCTTGGGCTTTCATGGCGTTTAATTTGTCGAAATAGATTTGTGTTTTTGGGCTTGAGGGTTTACGTTGTGAAGGTTGGGTCGGCAAGGGACCACTCGCGGTTTTGATTTTTTTGAGAGGTTCGGCGGTGCCGTTCCCGAAGCCGGGGTTCCCTTCCGATTCCTAAGCCCCAAACCCTCAATCCTAAACCCTCACCCTACCTTAACCTACCAAAACCTACAAAAAATGGTCCCTATAATTTCCATATTAGGGTTTATAATAAGAACCTACAAAAAAGTAGGGTTTGGTAGGTTAAGGTAAACCCTGACTCCCAGAAAAACCCTACACCCCGAAGCCAAAAAAACTCAGGTTTCGGACCTGGACCTCGGTCGCTACGTCATCCAGGCCCTCAGCTGCCTCTTCGAGGGACGTCTCAGGTGTCAGGGTTTATAGGGATGATTAAATAGGGTTGATAAGGGCTTATAGGGTTTGTAGTCTGTAGGGTTTGCAGGGTTTATAGGGTTTATTAAATAGGGTTGATAAGGGCTTATAGGGTTTGTAGGGCTTATAGGGCTTATAGGGTTTGTTGGGTTTGTAGGGTTTGCAGGGTTTATAGGGTTTACAGGGTTTAGGGTGTATACGGGGATTAGGGTTGCGGGGGTTAAAAAGCAAGCTTCTGTAGGAGTCCGGTGATTACGCTTGAGAGATCGGTTGTCCAAAGCCTAAGTTACGCTACTCCCCACCACCTTGAAGCGTTCCCGTGTTTAAACTCCGAGTTCACGCTTGGGATCGCTTGGGGGTTCCAAGGGTCGGGGCGTGAAGCCCAAGACCTCCAACCTCGCAACCCTCATAAGACCTTGTAGAACCGTTTCATAATCCGATAAAGACCGATAAACTTCAAATCGGTAGAGACACCCCATATGCTTCTCCTCTTCAGATCCTATGCATCCTAAACTTAGAACCAGCCCTGAAACTGAAATCCTTCAGACTCGTCGAGCCTAGACCCTGTTGAATCTCATAATCAACCCGACAAAAATTCCTTAAGCCAACCTGCAACTCCTACAATACGTCGAAGACCCTACAGGACCGTTTGAAGCCCCACAAAAACAAAAGCTACAGTTTTTCGGATCCTACGGGCCCCAGCGTTTACTTAGTGCATCAGCCCAAAACCCTGTGTTAACCCCGAACAGAACCCACAAAAGAATCTATGAGCATGAACGATGGGCCCGAGCCCGCGAAACCATGCCCCAAGCCCTAAAACCGTCTTCAGCTCCCCGCGTTTTTTCAGATCCGGGCGATCTGGGAAACGGACAACGGAAAGCGGGCGTTCAAGCGGTGCTTGGACGACGTGACCACGATGAAGGCCAGGGTGGCGCACGGGCTAGGGTGCAAGCTTTAGGGTTTCGGGTTGAGGGTCTCGTCATGACACCCAGCATATAATTGTGTAATCGTAGGGTCTAACTGGACCTCAAATAACCTCCTTCGAAAGGATAATTAATAAATGGGTTTATACGAGGAAATCACAACAAGGAGCCTGCAAAATGCTTCTGAGTCAGGTTTCAAGGATAGAGGTTGACAGATTAGTATAATCATGGAATACCATACTACCAGAATTTTACATCAATATATGGTTGATGATACAAACCCTGCATTACCTTAAGGACCCTAAACTATGGGAATTATGGTATATTCATGATTATGGGTCATGCCGGATTTCTATCATCAACCGTAATTTCGGGCTTTGCTGCAAGCCCATTTAGCAGATCCGTTTGCCCATGTGCTTCGGGGATTTGGGGAATCTTACGAATTTGGGTTTGGTAGTTGGATTTTAGGGTTGAAGGGCTCTGGGTCGTAGGGTTTTGGGGTTACGGTTCAGGGTTTGGGATTCAGCGTTTGTGGTGTTGCAGAAGTCTTGTTGCGCGATGACAAGTCCATCTTCCCTGGTTTCTGGTTCCAGAGGTCCGTAGTTCCGGCTTTCGAGTTTGAGTGGGCTGGGGTTCAGGGTTCTTGAAGCAACCGTGTACCCCAAACTTCTTTCTTAGATTCTTGTACCGGGCGATTAGTATAGTTCTTGTTTCCTTACAAGTACCATGCATCAACAAGTACCTGGACCCCAATAGTATGTAGAATAATGCCTTTTATGGGTATTGGGCCATTATTTTACTTATTTTGGGAGGTTAAGGTACACATCAATAGCCTAGTCGAGTTGTTCCAGTCCCTACATCTCATTGTATGAGCCACCAAACCCAGGATCTGACCATGTCATTTCGGTCAGTGAATCCGGCACCAGTGACGCCTTTTTGAACTCCTATGGGCGGAATATAAGGGGAACATGTATGGGCTTCATGTTAAGTAGTCTATGAAAGTCCTGCGCGTTATGCACTAAGTCCCTCAAGCCCCTAAACCCGAAAGCCTTAAAGCCCGAAAGCCTTAACTTATTCCTCGTAGCATCGTCGTGGAGCCCTTGTTCGAGTTTCATCCCAGCCCCAAACCCCGCAATGCCTTCCACTGTAAAGACTTGATCTAAGGCAAAAGCCTCGTAGAGAATCTGCGCAGATCCTCAGGAGTCGTGCACGGTTCTCTACCAGTCGCTTCTGCGGCTGATCCTCAAAATCTGCATCCTCGTCGGACCCTGAATGCCAGAATTTGATGGTGCAAGGTGCTCTTAGAGGCCAGTTCAGGAGGATCTAGTAAGGTACATTCCGAGTGCGACGCCAGTAGTCTAGCACAGTGTGTTGCAGTAGCGGCAGTAGCGTTGTACAACGACCTCCTGACTCAGATGCAGACATCTGGCGATAAAGGGGAACTGATGTTCTACTGCGGTTCCTAAGCATCGTATGGAAACACAAGCCCTAACAGCAGTAATGATTTGAGACTGAAGTAACAGCAGCACATAGTCTAGGTTGGATTCTGGGACATTTTATATTTTCTGATTTGGGTTTATAAGGGACCCTATATATAAATATTTTTCATGGTGCTTAAAGGCCAACCCAGTAGTTGATTGAAGCAGCAGGGTTCTGGGCTTGTGTTTAGGAGGGGACGTGTTATGGCTTCTATAGAAAGAACACCTACCAAGCCTCAAATCCGCAAGGCTCCATCGTAAACCCTGCGCAGAACACTTAGAGTAACCCGTACGGAGCCCCTATGTAACTCTAGTTGATCTCCGCCAAGACATTCTCTTAGAGGATCACGAGACTTAGTAGGTAGGTTATACATATACGCAGTGTCATAAGTTCTGATTACCCTTGGCTTGCTTACAACTCCTCTTACCGTCTCAAGAGCCATAAGCTCCCGGAAGTCCCAAAACCTTAAAGCCCCGAAACACCTTTTTCATAGAACTGTTAACGGAACTCTCTAAAGGACCCTAAACCCGAAGCGCCGCTTCTAGACAACCCCTATGAAGGCCGGAAGAGGAACCCCAACTCCCTTGATTCTCAACTCCCTTAAACCATCCTAAACCCTAAACCCTAAAACCCAGACCCTTTTGGCTCAAGATCTCGGGCTATGCGAGGCGAGGTTGATGTGGACTTGGGTATGCTGCGGGTGCTGCTTGGGGAGCAGACTCAGGTGTTACAAAGGGCAAACCATCAGGCTTTTGAGGAGAGTTTTAGGAAACTGCAAGAATTCTGGGAGGAGAGTTTGGCGCAGGTTGAAGCCAAGGTTACTGAACAGAACGAGGTCTTGCAACAGCTTTCAAACAGATGCTGCATGCTGGAGTTACAACGGCTGGCAGAAGGTGACAGCGGCACAGTGACTGGGTGAACAGTGGTCTTGGATGAGGATGCTTCAACGACGGCCGCAAATGAAGACCGGAAGCTTGGCAAGAAGAAGGGGCGACGGCGCAACAAAGTGGCTCCTTGCAAAACTGTGTGCCCAGCATCGAAGCAACTTGCGAAGATGGATGTTCATGAGTTAGAAGTTGAGAATGCTCCGGATGGAATTGGAGGAAAGGATCATACTTTGGGTGGTACTTCAGCTCAGACGAGCCAAGACTTGCACAACAGCGAAGGAGATGCCTTGAGGATGGTCAAGATACAGGCGCGGACGCTTGCTGCCACACACCTACCCCGTGCCGCAATCGCTGGTATGGACGAAACCCTTTTCATCAGGGGCGTACTTGGGACTGGAGTGGCAACTGCTGGAAGCAATGGTGTGGAAGTTCGGGGCGTGGTTATGGTTTTACCACAGGATGGGGACGTGACTGGTACAGATGCCGATGTGATTTTGCAAGCTGGCCAAACAGGTATCATCATTGGAGGGTGCCGGTTTTGCAAGCAGCTACAAGGCAGCCATGGGTTTGGAGTGAGCATCTGAACGTCAGGGTTCATGGACCAGGGTGCGTTGACTTTTCTGGTCGTACCTCTGAGCAGGCTGTGACTCTGCATATCACGTTTGGTCAAGCATGAGCTGCAATGACAGAGTTGTGAGTCCAATATGGAATGGCTTTTATGGTCGTCTGACATGGGTGACCTGCCGGCACATGCTACAATGCTATAAGTGCATGTCTCTTTTCGAGGTTGCCTTTCCAATATGGTGGCGTTGAGAATCGTCCGCGCAATATTTGCATGGCTCAGCCTGTGATGGCTGGGGTCTGGCTTTTTACTTCGTTTTTCCCCTTTGCAAGCGGAGGTGCGTAAGAGGGCTAGATTCTCCTGACCCATGTGGTTTTTCGTCGACGGCTTGCACCTTAGGCGGAAAAAGGAGCTAAAACAAAAAACCAGACCCTGAACCCTAAGCCCGAAGCCTACAGCTTTAAACCCTAAACCCTAGACCCTGCGCCTCAAAACCAGAGATCCTTTGCAGTAAACCTTGTAAACACCAAACCCTAAAACCTTAACCCCTGAATCCGACCCTGAACCATCCTAAGCCCTAAACCTTCAACCCTACACTTTAAACCATCCTACACCCTAACCCTTCAACACAAAAATCCTCTGAGTGAGACTCCAGGTGCTGGCACTCCTGCTCATGCTTCAGCTGCTCAACGGTTCGATTCCGGCTCCTGGCCTGCTTGGTTATTGAGTGTGGTTTAGGGCTCCTTTTAAGGGATCCTTTAGGGGTTCCTTAAGGGTTTAGGGTCTAAGGCTCCTTTAAGGGTTCTTTTAGGGGTTCCTTAAGGGTTTAGGGTTTAGGGTTTCTTTAAAGGATCCGTTAAGGGTTCCTGAAGGGTTTAGGGTCCAGGGCTCCCTTAACGGATCCTTTAGGGGTTCCTTAAGAGTTTAGGGTTTAGGCCTCGTTTAAGGGATCCTTTACGGGTTCCTTAAGGGTTTAGGGTTTAGGGCTCTTTTGAGGCGGTGTTATAGGGGGAATTTTGGGGTTTCGGGTTTAGGATTTGGGGCTTAGGGGGGTTTCGGGCTCCGTAAACGGCTCCTCTGAGGAATCCTTGAGGGGGTTTAGGGTTCGGTGTTTGGGGTTGCGGTTTGGAGTTCGGGGTTTGGGGCGTGGGGTTTGCCGGTTGGGGTTTGGGTTTCCCGTTTCGTCCTAAATCAAAAGCCCGCGATTCGTGCCAAGAACTGCAACTTCCATGAAGTAGGTCTGAGTTATGGCTGTCGGGTGCGAAAAGGGTTCTTAGTATGGGGACACCGGCAATAAAGACCGTCCTAAAGATAGGTTTCTGCAATATCCAGCTTGTTAGTCTGAAAGTGTGTGACTTCTTCAGGGGCATTTGGGATTGAAGTGGGCCTGAGAGATTGGCAGAGGGTTTAGGGTTCTGAACGAAAAGTATGTGTATCCCCTTTATGCACGCCCACAACCCTAACAGCGAAGCCTTGAAGCCTGTAGACCCAGGCCCTTCAACCAACACACTCAAGGCCGAGACCCCGACACCTAAAGCTCTCATTTGGGGTTTAGGGTTTAAGGGTTTAGGCTTTTAGGGTTTAAGGGTTTAGGGTTTAAGGGTTTAAGGGTTTAAATAGGGCTCACGAATCACGAACTTAACCCGACGACCCAACGCGCAAACACTGATAAGACCCTCAGAACAACTATGAAACCCAATACGACCCATAGGGAGCCCATACGCCCCCCACCCTAAACCCTAGATCCGGCTGCAAACCCCTAAACCGCCCTAACCTCCTAAACTCCTAAACCCTCAAGTCCTAAACCTTCAAGCCTAAACTCCTAAACTCCTACCTTAACCTCCCAAAGTAGGTTAAATAATGGCCCAATACCCATGGAAGGCGATTATTCTACACACTTTTGGGGTCCAGGTAAGCCCTTCCATCCCAAACCCCCGTTTAAGGATCCCTTTAACGGAACCCTAAACCCTAAACTCCTAAACTCGGAGGAAAAGGGCCCTCAAAAAAAGAAAAACTCCTAAACTCCTAAACCCTTCCATCCTAAACCCGAAGCTCCGGCCCTGCTCAGGAGCAGGCGCGCAGGCAAGGGCTCCAGCAGCTGCAAGCCGTGGCTCTCGAAGCACCGGCGCCTTGGACTTTTTTGGGCTTTTTGGGGTTGACTTTAACCCCAAATAACTTACCTTTTTAAGGACTTATATAAAGAACCCTAAGAAGGTTTTGGGGTTGACCTGAAGGACTTACCCTAATTAGGGCGCCGTAGTAACTAGTTCCTTCTTGGGGTTCATATTTAGAGTCCGAAAAGGTAATCCCAGAAAGGAACTACTATGGAGCCTCTGGGTAGTCATATAAAGAAATCCTAGTAGGGAACCCTCAAAGGGTAGGTTATTTGGGGTACAGGGCTTCGGGTTCTTGTTAAAGGATGAATTTTACAGTTGCCATAATAAGGAAGTCATATTATTTGCTATAGATCCCAATATAGTAACGTAAAATAAATCCTTCAACAAAAACCCAGTCATTGGTGTCCGGGCTTAGGGTTCTAAATTGTTTCTGAGGCTCTTTGGGTTTGTCTATAAGGGTGTAGGGTTTGGAGTATGGGGAGTACGAGGTTTTGCTTTGAGAGCTTTTGGTCGAGGACAGGTTTATGATTTAAGGGTGTTGTTGCTTACTTGCGGGGTTTAGGATCACCAGAATCCCCAAACCCCCTGGAATCTCTGGGCATCCTTCAAAAGGGAAGTGCCCTCAGAGGCCCAACCCAAGCCCCAGGCCCTCAACTTGTTTGAATGTAACGCTAAACTTCTATGTGGCTCGTAGCTGTTCATAGGCGCTGTAGTGGGAATTCGTCTGCAACTCATCAAGTCATACTGAAACCCCAGAAAAACCATGTAAAACCAGCATTTTTTGCAAGCCGCAGCAACCCTTGGGTGAATCCTGCAGGCCTGAACCGAAGCCCTATAATTATAAACCTTTTGAGCATCCTTGGCACAACTTTCGAAAACCCTAACCCTAAACCCTAAACCCTGTCAGCCCTAAACCCCCCTAAACCCTAGAAGCCGCTGCGTGCAGACGAAAAGGAGCCCTTAAAACAAAAACAAACCTACAAGCCCTGAGCCCTCTGTCTCCGAATCCCAGAATTCGTCCGCGACGGCGGACCTCCTCTGCCAAATGGTTGAGACGTCCTATGCCTGGGGCCCTGGATGGATTTGGGGTGCGGACGATTCTGGGAGTTTTTCGTTGGTTATACGGTTGATGATATAAATCCTGCATTACCTTAAGGACCCCAAAACTATCGGAAATATTGTATATTCCTTAATATGGGGGTTTATATCATCAACAGTAAATATCGATATACATAGGATAGCTGTATAGCTATAACCCAGATTAAGAGCTCCAGGCTCTGGGGTTTTGGGTTTAAAGACGCTGAGACTATGGGGTTTCGGGTCAATGGTACGAGTGTGGGACTTTGGGGGTTTCGGGGTTTCTTTCCGGGTTTCGGACTTCAGTGGGCAAACTGCTGGGGCCTAGAAGCCTTTTGAAAGGGTTCTATGTTGCTTCTGAGGTTTCTGCATAGGGGTTCTTTCTGGTGTTGTGTGCTTGTTTCCTTCTGAGCTGCCATTTCTCGTACGGGCCTTGCCGAGGATTTCCGTATGTAATCCTCTTCATCCTGCACCCTAGCTTTCTTGGGGTTTAGTGTTTGCGCACCCTTCTTTGCGAGCGGGACCGAGGATAGGTGAACACGGTGAACACCTGGATGACGTAGGGTCCTGTTTGTTTGAGCTTCTGGGTCTAGTCAAATCTATTCTGACTGTCTTCGTGTTCGAGCTCATCGGAAAAAGCCCAATGGAACCCCTCAGGTTCTTCGGAGCTCTTTCCCTCCCTTGGTCTGACATGAAGTCTAAACAGGGGCCCCAGTGAAGACTGCCGTCACCGAAAAAAGGAGCTCTGGAATTTAGGGTCCGTGTTTAGGGGAGACAGAAACCTCCAAGCAAGTGGCCTCAGCCCAATAATGATAATACGATGCAAGTTCATGGTCACTCGCAAGAAAATATGCTTACTGTATGTATACATATTGGATATACACGCACACGCACACACATAAGTGCCCTTTGTTTATTCTGAGGCTGGGGTGCAGCTGTAGGGCTCGTGCTCATCGGGGACATTACGGATTTCGGTGTGCGGTTTCGGGCGTACACGGCCCTACACCCTAAGCCCGCAAGCCAACAACACGCCGAAAACCTAAACGCCCAAGGCTGGCCGGCACAAGTTCAAACTACATGTTCGCTTTCTCACTCGGTGTATACCGGTACAGTTCTACGTGCCATGTCTTCAAACACCGCCCAACCCCAAAGCCCAAACCCTCGAGAAGCCCCATCGAGCCCTTCAAGGAACTCGTCAAGGAACCCTCGAGAAACACTACATGGAGATTCATGGGTAGTTATACATTTAAAAATAGGGTTATAGTTCCCCATAATAGGAGTTGTAGCCATAGTTACCCTAAATATAGCCCCCACTTACAACTACCCATGAACCTCCAAGTAGAACCCTAAAGCCAAAGTTATCACCAGGCTTATTCCTTCGAGCGCCATTCACTGCTCCTGCTGGTCGGGATCCGAGAAAAAAACTTGGCTCCAGGCAGTTGGCCTGGTCCTTCGGTTGATGATAAATCCTTCAATAACGAATCTACCATAATTCCCATAGTTTAGAGTCCTTAAGGTAATGCAGGATTTATATCATCAACCGTTCTGGGCTTTAAGGGTTCGTTCTAGACGGGTTCTACAAGGGGGCTGGAATGCTGTAATTAAGGGTTCCACAAAAGTTCTATCAGAGTTCTGGAAGAGTTCTATCAGAGTTTTAGATGGGGCTCTACTTTGAGGTTCATGGGTAGTTATAAATGGGGTTACAAGTCCCCTCATAGGGGTTATCACCATAGTTACCTTAATTAAAACCCCACTTATAACTACCCATGAACCTCCAAGTACAAGGATGCCCTTCATATAGCTATTATGTACCCATTATATAGCCCCATCATAGGGAATCAGGGGGTCCCCATTAAGGGTCCCTCCTTTTCCCTTTGATACAAGGATTCTTTAAGGGCTCTTTGGTTTTGGGGCCATAAGCAGAGGATCCCCAAGAAGACCAGGTACCAAAAAGCAACCGACAAGTCCGGGAGTTTCCGAAAATTAGGGGTACGTTATTTTAGGGTCCTTATAATGAGGATCCTACTATTTAGGGTACAATATTATAGTCCCCGATTTTCGGAAACTCCCAAGTGGCAGAATCAAGAGGATCCGTGGTTTTGGGGGTACCTGGACCCTAAGGAACCTTCCTTTTTAGGGTTCCCTAAGATGATTTCGTTATAAAAAAGTCCTTAAAACGGTAGGGTACTTGGGGTTAGGGTAGGGTAGTTTGAGGCTTCAAGGCTGCATGGGGTGAGTTGTTTGTTGTTTTTTGCTAGAGCTGTGCTTGATTTGGGTGGTTGTCAATGTTAGGGATCTTTTGGGGGTCCCTATTATAATACGGCACCTAATATTTAGGGTACCCGAAAAGGGACCCTAATTTGGCCCAGTGTCCGACTGAGCCTCTTGAGCCTCCAAACTCCTTACCCCTGACTCACCAACCCCCCCACGCCCCCCCGGCCACTAAATCTAAACCCCAAAGCCTCAACCCTATAGACCCTCAACCCTATAGACCCCTAGGCCCTAAACCCTAAACGGCCGACACGTAAAAACTCCAAGCAAAGCTCAGAAGCTTCCGGGGTTGCAAGGCAATAGTATACACTTTGGCCTTAAAGTAATCCCTACCTAGACCCCACAAGTACGTTCTAATATACCCCAAATACCCATTATTAAGACCTTAAGGACTCTACTAAAGGGCCCTTGGGGGGTCCTGGTATAGGTACTTTGGGGCCTAAGTATACACTGCTTGGGTACGCGGACCCTAGGGTGGGCTTTCAATGCCAAGGTGATCGATCAGCGTGTTGTCTGGGATACGACGCCGCCTGGCTGACAAAGATATGCCCGACAGTTTCAAACCCTAAACCCTAAACCCCAAACCCTAGACCCTAGACCCTAAACCCCAAACCCTAAACCCTAGACCCTAAACCCCAAAACCTAAACCCTAGACCCTAAACCCCAAACCCTAAACCAAATCAAAGAAGAACATCTCGAAGCCGAAGCCTGAGCTGCTGTCCTGAACCCTCCCACATCCTCCCGCTACTCAAGACCCAAAAGCCTGCGCAAAGCTTTTGGGCTTGAGGTTTGGGGGTTCAGGCTAGAGGGTGGTGTTGCGCTGTTGGAGGTTAGGGAACAGCCACCTGTCTCCAAAAAGTAGTGCAATTCGGGGTGAGGCGTAGTTTGGGGTGTTTTTGTGGGGATGTAAACGCCCCGCTTCGGATACATAAAAATGCAGGCCGAAGGCCACCTACCGCCACTAACTGCCCCCCAAGGTTCCAGCAGAGGCTTTCACACCTGCCAGCGGTGCTTATGACCTCACCCTTTCGGGCTGCCGTCCCAAGAGAGCGCAGCGTATTTCACTAACTTTGTACTCGTGCTTCCGGATCGTCCCATGGCTGCATGCATACCTGGACCCTAAGGAACCTACCTTTTCAGGGTTCCCTAATATGATTTCTTGATATAAGCCCTTAAAGAGGTAATTAGGTTACTTGGGGTTAAGGTAAACCCAGAGCCCTAACCCGGAACCTGATTCTTTCAAACCTGCGCTCACCTCAACCCCTAAGCTTGAAGCCCTGAGCCCCGAACCTTAGACCCGACTTCCGGAACCGAGGGCGACGAATCCATGCTCCAACTCCAGTGGCGGATTTAACTTTCGCAAGCTGGGAAGTGTGGAAGAGGTGGGCGAGGGACGCTTAGGCAGAGTAGGCGGGAGGAGAGTAGGGAGGCTTAGTGCCCCTTCTCTTGACCCCCTGCATTGGGTAGGAGGCCTGCAGCTTTGGGTATGGGGGTTGCGGCTTGTCTTGTTTGAGGCTTCGGGGTTGTTGATGCCGTAGTGTTTGGGTTTGTGGATTAAGGCACCCGGCCACTAAGGATGGGAGTTAGGTACTGCCCCCATACAGTAAGAGTCTAGAATAGGGCTACTATTATTCAACTATTATTGAGTGGGGCCCGTACCCAAGGAGTGGCTTAGTTAGAATAGTGTGCCAGGGCTGGTGGCGTTCAGGATTCGGGGTCTGCAGGGCTTTGGGGACTTGAGGAAGAGGGTTTAGGGTCGAGGGTTTTTTCTTGGTACAGACCTTCTACCGAATATTCGTGTGCTTCACGACCAGCGTTGCTAGATGCCGAAGGCTTTACAAGTTCTAAACGACACTGCCCGTGCGTAGACTGTAAACTGTACACGTGTTAGTGTTAGGGCTGACTGGTCCTCTAAAGGGGTCTACATGGGTTGCTATAAGGGATCTATAAGGGTTACTATAAGGGATCTATAAGGGTTACTATAAGGGATCTATAAGGCTACTATAAGGGATCTACAATGGGTTACTATAAGGGATCTATAAGGCTACTATACTAATGTAGGAATCTCATTAAGAAGCCTTGGGCCTTACGGCTTCGTTCCGTTCCTTCCGTTTTTGCGGAGAGTTTCCGTGGCATCTGCCACCCTGAGGCCCTTCTCCATGGCTTAGGGTTGAGACTGCGGGAATAATCTGGGCTTTGGAGTACCATACTTTAATATTTTCTCAATGGAACCATTATGAAATAGAAGTTTATACTTTTTTCTCGCTGGTTACTGAAAAGCCCAGTAATGGACACTGAAAGCAACCGAGGTCGTTTCTCTGCCCATAATTCTCAGTCCTAGTCCTAATTCTGTAAGAGAGGGCCAATTCCCAGCTCTTGGTGCCCGACTGCTTCGGCTAAGGCCTCAAGCCGCAAGCCCCTAAATCCTAAACTCTAAACCACTAAACCCGCAAACCCCTAAACCCCTAAACCCCTAAATGCTAAACCCTAAATCCCTAAAGCCTACGACACCTAAGCCCTAAACAACCCTATAAACCCCATAAGCCCTAAGCCCTAAACCCTATAGACCCCAAAAGATAAAGCCTTTCCTGAAGGCAGCGGTCCTCTTCGAAGATGTCATTGACGGCACAGGCCCGGCAAACTCTACCACCCAGATCTTGGGTCAGGAGCTTGTTTAAGGTTTAAGGTTTAGGGTTTAGGGTTTAGAATTTTAGGATTTAGGAGTTTAGGAGTTTAGGGTTTAGGGGTGGGATCCCAACCTGCCCGTTCGTGGTTTCCCTACTTGGAGCCCTAGCTTCGTGGGAGCGTTAAACCACGAGAAGTTCCGAAGTCCTTAAACCCTAAACCCTACCTGGACCCTAAGGAACCTTCCTTTTTAGGGCTCTCTAATATGATTTCTTTATATAAGTCCTTTTCAAGGTAGGTTACTTGGGGTTCAGGTAAACCCTGGACCCTACCTGAGTGTTTTGCGCGAGTTTGAAGGACTCTGCGGCGGCGCCTTTTCTTCGCGGGCTTCACGAGTTACATTGTAGTAGAACTCCCGGGCAAGAAGTTCCGGACGGCTATGGCTAGCGATGGATAGCTCCAGAACAAGCAGCCCCGCAGCAAGGGCCAACGCACAACGTGGACCCGGATAGACCCTCTGCAGAGCTAGTGCGGGAGGAGCCGGAGGTGGTCCACACGCTAGTGGCTCCGAGGGCTATGTTGCGTTCACAGAGGGTGTCACTGACATACACCCAGCCCTTGTCGACCTATACCCGTAGTAAACATCTACGAGGATGCACACGTGTGTGCAGTCCTAGACGAAGGTTGCAATTCCACATCGCATGGTGGCGATTGGATAGCAAACGCAGCAGGCAAGCTCGCTAACCTTGGGTATAGTACCAGGTTCAAGCCAGAGGGAAACCGGACTTTCAAGGATCGGAGTGGAGCTACCGAGACGTTGGGTAGTCGGACGATACCACTCTCTATAATTGGTTTGGAGAAGGATTCGAGGCTAGCCAGGCTAAAGGCCGCTCGTGGGGGCCAGAGGCGGGCATGATAGACCAGACGTGGATATATATATATATATATATATATGTATATATATATATATGTATGTATGTATGTATGTATGTATATATGTATATATATATATATATATAGTCGGCGAGAAGACTGGCCGCTAGGGAGCAGGTGAAGGTTCCTGCGCTCAATAGGGTTGATGTTACAAATCCTGCTTTAACTTAATGACCCTAGACTATGGGAGTTATGGTACATTCCTTATTAGTTATGGGTAATGCAGGATTTAAATTAGCAACCTCCGCTCTGTTCCAACACTCCGTCGAATGAGCCCAGCAAGCTGAAAACCCACAAGGCTTAAAGAGCCCAAGGCGCAAGCCGGGTTTAGGGTAATATAGGAACCTTTAAAACTTGCAGACTTTGATTTGAACGCAGACAGTACCTACAGAATCGGACTAGAAGCTATGCAGCAGCAGCAGCAACACCCTACTCTACATTTCTTTTGGCACTGATATAAGTCCCGATTACAAGACAAAGCCCTTCTAAACAAGCGAGAAAAGCCCTACAAATACCAAACCCGATCACAACCCGACAGGATCCACGGGTTTAGGGTTCCCTAAACCCTATAAACCCTAAACTCCCTACTAAACTCTAAACCCTCTCCCTAAACCCTCTACTAAGCATCCCACATTTCATGAGCCCCTTTTGTCGGGTCAGGTAAGGAGCGGCACGAGATGCTGGTGGATCAAGCCGAGGCACCGTTTTGAACAATGCTTGTGCTTTTTGGGGTTTTGGGCATTTTGCGATTTTTGGGGTTTAGGGTTTTGGGTTTGGGTGTGTGTTTTTTTGGGTTTGGTGGTTTAGTGTGTTGACTGTGCGATTTGGGTTTCCATGAGGAACCCTGAACATCTTTCCTGTACAGCACAGCCTTCCAGCTAAACCCTCAGCCCTGAACTTGCCCAACAAAAAAGGTAAACCAAAGCTTATTTATTGAGTTCAGCCCCAGCGCAAAACCCTGCTTAGTTCTGGCAACCCCGATGTGGAGATTCCAATTCCCAACCCTGAAGCCAACAGCCGGTTAGGGCTTAGGGTACGTATGCGTTCGGATGCGCTTTTGGTATGGGTGGGTCTCCCTTAATTAAGGAGTATACCTGGAACCACATTGGGAATCCTACTCTGATTTATGGTATATATTCCTTAGTTAAGGGATGTTGGTGGAGTCTCTGGGAACCCTAAATCGCAACAGGATCTTAGCTGGGAGACGAGCGCCATCTTCGACCAGCACCAGTGGACGGCCTCAGAAGAGTGTTGAGTGCATGGAGTAATGTAGCGGCCTTAATAAGTACCTCTACTTTTTTGGTGGTTCTTGATTATAATTATAGTACAATGGGCCACAAAACCCTATGCTAGTTATGAAGGCCCTTATAGTGGAGCTCCAGGTGTATATGCCGTATTCGCCGGAAGTGGGATGTTGAGTTCTGGGCTTTGAGTTTTCGGACGCCGGATGGCATGAGGTTGTGGGGATTAGCTTTGGGGGGGTTTTGGGGGTTCAGGCTGGGGATTTCGAGCTCAAGAAAAGCATGGTGACACAGTGCTTTTGTGGGCCTTACCCTAGACTCCAAACCCTGCATATTCCCCTCCCCGGGCCCCCCCTTCAAAAGACATGCCTTATAAACCCCAAAGCCGATAAATTTCCCAACTTGTGCAAAAAGATTTTGCATGTTGCACTATGAACCTTTAAACCTGACTGCACAGGACCGCTCCGGTGCTTCTGCAAGCCTAAGGCTAAACCGCTGTAGGCCCCAAAGGCGCTAACCTCTCTCCACTCCCTGAATCCCTGCACCCGGAACTCCGGAACCCCAATGTCTGAAATTGAGACGCAGTTCTGAGTCGAAGGGTTAAAGTACGCTAGGGCTTTTCTTGGAGGTCCGACAAGGGATCTGCAAGGGCCGACCGTAAGACCTTGCTACAGTAAAGGGGTACCTTTGTTTTCTGTTTGCAGCAGAGTTGCGGGCGCGCTGTAGTACTGTACGCTCGAGCAGGAAGGTGTGGCACTGGTCTGTAAAGGCACGGGGATGATCCCCCTGGAAAAAGTGGGGATTAATGTAGGGAGCCGATTAAGAAACCTTGGGCCTGTTATTAGGGTTCCTTGGATGAATCCTATTATTTGGGGTGTCATAGGCCCAGGGTTCCTTAATCAGGTTCCTACATTACCCTTCTTCTCCCAATCTGCAAGGCATCGACTCGGGAGGCCAGTTCTTGGCCGTTAAAAGCTACGACGGCAGAACTGGGGCCCTATGTTACCGTGATAAATTCCCCCCAAACCCCCGTGAGACTCCAATATCCCTTAATTAAGGAATATACCTTAGATTATAGTGGGATCCCTCATATGATTTACGGTATATTCTTTAATTAAGGGATATTGGACTCTCTGGGCCACCGTGAGCTCTCAGAAGATCATGATTCCACTAAACCCTGAACCCTGGAGTGGCTGCCTTGGTGAGGCCCCCCTGATAAAGCAGTTCATGTGGGTGGTTGTCAAGATTATGGCAACTTTCTGGGTACCCTAAATCATAGGTGCCGTATTATAATAGGGACCCAAAAGAAACCATAATTTTGACAACCACCCATGTAAGGAGTACATGAACTCCCCTTCCACGGCACCTGTTAGGAAATGCACCAAGTAAAATAGAACGAATATAGCTGTAAGCGGGTCGAGAAATCCTCATCTCTAAAAGCCCTAGCCCCAACAAACATCCGAAAAGAAGCGGGCGGCCGAAGCCCTGAACGCTAAAACCCTCTTAGACCCACAGCTTCCTTGATGATACGGTTTAGGGTTTCTGGGTTTGGGGTTTAGGGTTTAGGGGTTTAGGGTTTAGGGTTTAGCGTTTAGGGGTTTAGGTTTAGGGTTCAGGGTTTAGGCCCTAAGCCCTAAAGCGTAAACCGTAAACCGAGGCAGGTTCGCTGGGAAGCGGGAGAGAGTCTCAAGTACTCCCTTTCGGCCGGATACTCGGAGGGTTCTTTCAAGAAGGGGTTTTATCAAGATTCTTCAAGGTAATGTATGGTTCGCTTAGAGGGTTCTATAAAAGGGGTATAGGGGGCAATTTCTACAAGGGGCTTTCAGGCTTCTTGGTGGTTCTTCAGACTCTGAAGGTGATTATACGGCCTTAGTATGGGGGCCTCAAGAATGGGGGGTATATGATACTTACGATTTAGACCTCCATATTACGGCTTCGATGGTCGATGGAATAGAAGCCTGAAGAAGTAGAAGGTTTTGGGTCTATTACAGATGTCTGGTGCAGGCCTGCTTCAGACCACTATGTCTCTCGCACCGCACTGCAGAAACTGACTGCGGTGCAATTTCTACAGTTGAAATCCGCCGAGACTCCACGCCCGAAGTTCTGAACTCTATGCCCTGCATTTGGCCCTACCTGTTTGGGGTTCCTTGTTACGGTTTCGTTCAGGTTCGTTTTTGTGTTCAGGAAAACCGTGAACCCCAAACCTATGAACAGACGGAAAAAGGTGCGGGGAAAAAACAAACAAAACCTGAAGCTTCCTAGCCGACACCCCGAGGTTGTTGCGATGCTGGCGCTACTGATGCTCTACTTCTCTGCTGACATCATGCACATGCTGGGCTCCCAAAATCAGGAACCGAAACGCCCACCTCAAGGTAAAGTTCCATTGTGGGGGTCTAGATTCATGAAGGGCTCTGATGAATGGTACCCTCCTCTTGATATGGATTGTAGCAAGGATCCCTACATTAAGGCTCTTTTCAGAAGGGTGGTTTATGAATCGGGGTCTACAATATTTCCAAAATCAGGGATATGGGCGTTTGTGTAAATCTCTCAAACTGTAGGTACTTTAGGGTCTAGGGAGGTTTAGAGTTGCAATTTTCGGTTTTAGTTTGCATATGGGCCTTAAAAGGTGGCTGAGAACGGAACGGCGTGGATTGCTTTAGCAAGGCTCCGTCAAAGTGTTGCGGTGTCTTCAGAGGGTTTTCGGGTGGGCTTCATTGTTGGTTTCAATCCAATTGGCTCCACCGTGGTCGGGTCACACATACTAGACCCTGCATCCCAAGCCGTCAATCCCAAGCCCCTTCCAACCCTAACCGCTGGCAATACCGAAGGCATGTTACCGCTCTGAGCTCCCGAAACAGCTGGAAAGAGCTCAACGACAAATCCCAAGGCAGGCTAATTACCTCAAGACCTGCGCGGTGTTGTAAAGACGACATCCCCAAACCCTACAGTGGCCTTTGGGCCGTTCACCCAGGGCCTGGGGGCTCAGAGCTTCGCGAAGATTTACAAGTAGGATAGGGCTTACGCCGACAGCCCAAACCCGAGTACGGCACACCTTCCCCCGCCCCTGGCCAGTTGGATGACAGTCCCATAGATGCAAGTATCGGCCAAGCATTTTCTCAGTCCTTACAAGAGATATTAAGGATTTTAGTAGACATCTTCCTTAACTCATATTAGGGTTCCTACTACAACTTAAGGTATACTATATATATATATATATATATACTCCTTAATTAAGGGATATTGAATCAACACCTCCGCTCTATGGATTTTGTCAGCGAGTTTGGGAGTCTTAAAGCTCCCCCTGCCGAGGTCGAGCCAGAACTGCCTGCACCCTCTCTGGGATCTAATGGACGTGACTTCCTCGGAGTCCCTGGGGTGTTGTGGGGTCTAGAATCTAGAAGAAAGATGCACCTATCTGGGGTTGGTGTAGGGGTCTGGAGTCTAGAAGAAAGATGCACCTATCTGGGGCTTAGGGCTTTTATCATATCCTGCTTTAGGGGTACTTTGGTTACTCTCGACAAGCCCTGAAATCCTAGAGACTTACCGCCCCAAGCCTTTGAATCCTGAGAGGATCCTCCTAGAATGCAAAGCTAGGTAGTTTTGTAGCGGTGGAAAGGATCCTAACACCAGCTTCTACTTAGGGTTGTTCTATTTTCTTTAACAGGATTGCCCTGTCCCAAGCCAGACACTCCCCAATAGGGCTTGGTTTTTTCTGTGTAGGATTTACGTTTCTCAGTTTGGGAGTGTACGTAAGGGATTTTGTCATTGAGGCTTTATTTTAGTTTGCCTCACGGTTTTCCATGAGTTCCCAGGACAGGGCTCCGTGGGGGCTTTAAGAGGGGTTTGGGTATCGGTGGTTTACAGCTAGCACACTTTCGGGATGTGTTGTTTTTTGGTTGCTTTGTTGGGGCCCGTGGCTTGAAAATGTCTTTAATGGGATCGGGTTTTCTGTGTCCTTTTATGTAACTTTGGATCTCTTAATGAAAACAGAGTATTCAAGGCCACACATTAGCTGTACGGTTGATGAAATAAATCTTGCATTACCCATAATAAGGAATACCTCTACCTGGAGGTCCATGGCCAGTGAAAAGTGGGGTTACAATTAGGGTAACCATGGTTATAACCCCGACTAGGGGACTTTTAACCCCATTCATAGCTACCCATGAACCTCCAAGCAACACTGTAGAGCCTTAACAGCCGTAAAGGACCGAGGTAACCTTGATAGATCCTTGTCGGACCCTTAAATCCCAATGCGCCAATCTCCCCCGCGGCCCCCCCTCCGGCCCTGCCCCAAACAATTACCAAGACTCTTGTGGTGGCTCCTTATTTTAAGTATACTTCGTATAATATACCTCCAAACCCAATTCTAACTACATTACTTGTGGCTGCCAGTTGGAGGGATAGGTTTTGCGACAACTGCCCTCATGGTCAGATGGGCCATTCCACGTCAATGCACGGGACGGAGTCCCGTTCAAAGCCAGGACGGACAAACTGCAAAACCAGAAGTGCTGCATGGGTGGTTGTCAAAATTATGGTACCCCTTGTTGGGTCCTTGTTATAATACGGCACCTAATATTTAGGGTACCCAAAAGGGGCCATAATTTTGACAACTACCTTCATGCACCGTTAACTCACGAGGTCACATGGCCAGTGGTGGTGAAGACACAGCGGGCACTGATATCGGAGTTTCCCAAAATAAGTGACCCTAATATAGTACCCTAAGTAGTAGGATCCTGATTATAAGGACCCCTAAACAAGGTACCCCTTATTTTCGGAAACTCTAAACCCTAAACCCTTCACAGAACTCTCTTATAGATCTCTTTAAGGATCCCTTTAAAGTTGCCCCTAACTTTCGGAAGCTCCCATATGCCTTCACAGCCAAGTCTTAGCAGACCGCCATTCCTCGGGGCGTTGGACCTCCAAAGCGATCTTTTCTTCATAGAATCGTGAGGGTATAGGGTTAAGGTAAAAGCCAGAAAGTTGGAATATGATTATTCTAAGCCCTTTATGGTAAATTACAGGGTATCCTACCCTGAAACCATATTCCAACTTTCTGGAGTTCCCTGTAAGGGTTTAGGGGTTTAGGGCAGTAGTCTCAACGGACCCTAGACCCAATATAGAATATAGACGTTTGGTTAGCAAGGAGTTAAGAAATCCTTCCTGAAATGATTGTTCAGGTGCATCCAGTACCGCATTTCATTCCCCCTGCCCCAAAGCTCTGAAGCCACGACTCAAGCAAGAACCAGGTGGAACAAGCCGAAGCCCGAAAAGCCATCAAAATTCTGAACGCCTAAAGAGATTCAACCCCGCACTGAAACCGCTGAAGCCACACACGCACAGGCACCCTTACGTCACCTGTCTCGAGCTCTTATGTAATTACGTTTTTCCCATATGGACTTCTTATTCAGGCTGAAAAGGAATCGTACTTTCCGAGGACATGAACGCTATGAAGCTGATAGAGCTTATCACGGCGACGAACATCAAGAAGTCCCGGCCACAGAGAGACGGCGCTTTTCGGTGTTCAGAGCCGCTCCCGAAGCTCAATTCTTGAATAGCTCCGATATGACGGTACCTAAAGGGTTACTATAAGGGTACTTCTTGCCAAGACCAGAAATTGTTCGCATCGCTCAGGTTACAAATAAGGTTTTTCAAATCTGCGGGTGTCTGATACTGTAGACCACTGATATATACAACCTCTCCCCCATGTAGGGATTAGGAAAAGGATGGTAGTATTCGGGCCGGCGAACAAGGCGAGATTCGCGCCTACTGCTGCTGCTGCTCCAACAACAACAACTACTACTACAACTACTACTACTACTACTACTACTACTACTACTACTACTACTACTACTACTACTACTACTACTATATACTACGACTACGACGACGACGACTACTCCTACGACTGGTCGGGGGTTTCGTTTCGCACGGATTTCCGACCGAGACCCCAGAATCTGCTCACCGAGACCCCAGAGTCTACTCGCGTTTGAGGATTGCAGAGTATCAAAGGGGAACAGGAGGGACCCTTAATAAGGACCCCTAGGTATTTAAGGGATCAAAAAGGGTTCTATAAAGGGTTTAGGGTTTAGGATTCCTTTAATAAGGTTGCAGAGTATCACAGGGGAAAAGGAGGGATTTGGCGTTGGAGTTTAGGATTTCAGGGTTTGGTTTTTGTGTATTGGGCTTTGGGGGCTTGCGATACTTAGCAAATCGCTTCTTCGAATTTACTATCCAAGGGTAAAGGAGGGACCCTTAATAAGGACCCCTAGGTATATACCCTTAATACAGCCATTATATACCCATTATATAGCCCAGTATAGGGTAGGGGTCCCCATTAAGGGTCCCTCCTTTTCCCCTTTGAGAGTAGCAGCATTAGGGTTTAGGGTTTAGCAGCCACCGTCTCGAAGAGCATCGCACTCGCAGCCTTAACCACCGTCACAGGCATCAACCATGATCGTCACCAGTTTCCTCTCTAGTCTCGTAACGCAAGCATTATCTTCTTCTTGATCGGTTTTGGTATCATCTTCATCACAGCTACTTGGACAGCACCCCAAAGACTTCAAAGCCGCTGACAGAGCCCTCGACGTGTTGCTGCTTGTCGCCAGCAGAAACGCTCGGCTGAAAAAAACCAGCGTCAAAGCAGCCACATCAATATTCAGGATCCTGCTCTAGCTGAAAGTAAGTCGATTTCCCCCCTGCCCGCCGCCCCTGCAAAGGCAAAGAGGGCACCTCAAGCCAGCCTTCATAAGATTAACAACGACATTGAAAGCGATGCTTTTTTCAATTGTTCGCAGAACAGCTAACCCTAAACCCCTAAACCCTAAACCTCTAAACCCCTATATAAACCCTAAACCCTAAACCTCTAAACCCCTATATAAACCCTAAACCCCTAAACTCTAAACCCCTAAACCCCTATATAAACCCTAAACCCTAAACCTCTAAAGCCCTATATAAACCCTAAACCCCTAAACTCTAAACCCCTAAACCCCTATATAAACCCTAAACCCCCAAACCCCTATATAAACCCTAAACCCTAAACTGCTTCGACACTCCCAGGATCGATCAAGACATCGGGGTTACGCAGCTGACCAGGTCGGTTGCCAAAAGCCTGGGGTAGGGTTCAATAGGGATTTATGGGTTCCTGCGAGGTTTCCAAGCCAAGTGGTTTGAGATGTTAGTAGCCCTAAACCCGAAACCGACGCCCTGAACCTGGTAGAAGGGTCCTGGAAATAGTTGGCTTTCCTACTTCGGAGCGGTTTATGAGGGCTCTTCCCAGAACTTTACAGACTTTGCCGTTGCCTAGCTGCCGAATTTAGCGAGGTTTTGTGTATTTCTTGGCGCACAGGTATGTCTCGTAGGGTTTCGCAGCGATCTTTGTAAACACTCATGCGAAGCCACCACTGTAAGAGAAGCAACATGTCACCTTGAACAAGGTGCGCGTGCCAGGAACCGCAGATGTTGGAGTGAGGGGTCATGGTTTAGAAGGTCTTATAGTCTTGTAGACCTTTGTGCGGTTCGATGGAGGCTTTTTATTTGGCCTCCAAGGATTTGGCGTTGGAGTTTAGGATTTCAGGATTTGGTTTTTGTGTACTGGGCTTTTGGCGGATTGCGATACTTAGTAAATCGTTTGTTGGGATATACTATACGAAGTACCCAAGCCTGCGCGAGTGGATCTCCGCCAGCATCCCCGAAACCCCCAGACGATTCAAGCGCCTCAAGCCTGTCAGTTACCTCCTTGCATGACGGCTGAAGATTATTGTTCTTCTTGGCATTTAGGCCCAGAGAGCCCAATACCCCTTCATTAGGGAATATAGCTTAAATCATAATATGAAGCCCTATATAATTTAAGCCTTTTTCCTTAATTAAGGGGCCCCTTGGGCTCTCTGGGGGGCGAGGGGTTTAGAGTCTCCTTGCAGCTCCCCCAGAAACCCTGAGAGCCCTTCTTGAACCTTGCCAAATCCTGAACTTTCAACGTTGGAGCCCAAAGCAGTTCACAAACCCAAAGGGTCCAATGTGCCTATATAGTAGAATGTAGGGTTTAATTTCTATTTTAGGAATTACTATTTGATTTGGGGAAGTATCTCACATAACAGTACCTAGGACCCTTTGGGAACCTCTTCAACTCTAAGACGAGGTGGCCAAGCAGTAAACTAGCAGCTGGAACAACTATCGGCACTCTTTCTATAGGATTCCAACATATTTATACCCTTGTACATTCTTCTTCCTGTTCTATTCTGCGGTGTCCATACACACAAAGCAAAAGCAAAAAACAACGATTTCTTCTACGTGGCTACTGTGGAAATAGGACAAACAGGAATAATAAGGCCGAAAAGCCCATGAACGCAACTCCTTAAACCGTAACATCTGATTGATCCGACACCTGGACTGGAGGTCAACCATAATTTTCCCGCTACAATAGATCAATCTCTAAACTTCCACACCAGAAACCCTAAACATCGCTACACGGCAAAACCCTAAACCCTGCGTCTAAACGTCTAAACCCTAAACCCCGAATCCCCATGCTTGCGCCAAGGAGCCGTTGCAAGTGCAAGCCATTTGCGCCCGTGCCGGTGAGAGCCCCGCAGGGTTGAATAGTTCCTACTAGGTTTCCTTCAAAAGCTCCTGTGAGGCTACTGTAAGGGTATTACACAGGCACTACCTATAGTCTCCATTGTAGTTCCTTTTTCCGGTTAACCAGTTTTATGGTTAGGCGCCTATAATAGAGATTTTGGACAACCAAGAAAAGGAACTACAATGGAGACTATAGGTATAATGAGAGTACTATAAGGTTCCTTTAAGGTTGCTCTCTAGCGGATCGAAAAGGGCAGGGCTGAAGGGGTTTCAGGCTTAGCTGAAACCTGAAAACCTTACGTATTCTATTCCACAGCATGGTTCGGTAGGTTTAGGGTTTAGGGTTTAGGGTTTAGGGCTAGGGGCTACAACTAGGTTGAGATTTTCGGGTTGAAAGTGTCGGGGTCAGATTCTGGGGGGTCTGTGTGCGTTCATGTTTGCGTGCGCATGTAGGCGTACGACGTGCCATGACATGTGTAGAATGGACTGGAGTGGAATGTCATATCATTACAGGTCACATCATGTATTGCAATCCGCTGTTAACTGGTGTGCTATATTATGTATTATGTATTATGAGAATTATGTTATTGCACGTGGTGTGTTGTGGTGGTTGGTTTGCCGCGCTATGCTGCCATGCTATGCTGTACTGTGCTATGCTGTACTTTGCTCTGCTATGTTATCCTGTGCTATTCTTTCCTTTGCTCTGCTTTGCTCAACTATGCTGTCCTAGATGCTCTGCTTCATTCTCTGCTTTGCTCGACTCTATGCTTTGCTTGGGTACTGCGCCACTCAGTAACAGCTGGATAACATTCATAATATAGATATATTAGGACCTCAATAGTAGCTCTTTTATAGACTGTTACTGTATAGGGGGGCAGTACCAAATGCTCTGCTACGCTCTGCGTACTCAGTGCGTCTGGGTTGTAGGTACGCGTGTGCAAATCCTGGGGCCTTCTCCGAGGTCCCTAAGCCCCTAAACCCTAAACCCTAAACCCTAAGCCCCTAAACCCTAAACCTTAAACCCCTAAACCCCTACATAAACCCTAAGACCCTAAACCCCTGAACCCCTAAACCCTATAAACCCTAAAACCCTACATAAACCCGAGGTCGCCCAGGAGTTGTTGGGATTGCGGAAGTCGATGAGCCTCTTGGAATCGGCCCCCTGGCAGATGCTCTCGGGTTTGCCCATAGGCTCCATAAGAGTTCCTTTTTGGGATTGCCTTATAGGATTCTTTGTATGAGCGAGCCCCAAAAAGGAACTACTATGGAGCCGATGGGTAAGGGTTAGGATCTAAGGAGTGTAGGGTTTGGGGTTTGGGGTTTAAGTAGGGTGGAGGGGTTTGGGATTTGGGTCTAAGCAGTGTGCGGTTTGGGGTTTAGTTAGGGTGTATAGGGTTTGTTAGGATTTGTTTTTGTCTGGTCTTTGCGGGCTGTTTCCTCCACACTGCGTGGTACCCACGGTCAGCTGTACGGTTCGGGAGTCTGGTCTGGGAGTTGAGGTTAGGGGTGCACGGTATAGGGCTTGGGAGTTTGATTCAGTTTTTGGGTTTGTTCTTTTGAGGGTTCAGGTTCGTTTCGACTAATTGCTAAAGCCTCCCTGTTACAATTCCGTCCGTTAGATTATGTTGGAGGAACAGCCTGAACTGCACAATCCAATCCTAAAAACGCTACACTGTTGTGGCGCTTCTGTCTGCAAGCCATCTCAGCTTAAGCCCCCGCATATAAACCCTAAACCCTCCTAAACCCCTAAACCCTAGACCCCTAAACCCGAAACCCCTAAACCCTAAACCCTTAAACCCTAAACCCCTAAACCCTAAACCCCTAGACCCTAAACCCTAAACCCCTAAACCCTAAACCCCTAAACCCTAAACCCTAAGCCCCTAAACCCCTAAACCCCTAAACCCCTAAACCCTAAACCCCTAGACCCTAAACCCCTAAACCCCTAACCCCCTGGACCCTAAACCCTGTTCCCCTTTGCTCTCCTTTTTTGAGGCCATGATCGCCTGGTCCAAGTACGTCCCAGCGAGGGCCCCAGGATTCGCGCAGTCCCGGATTAGAGAGAGTTTAGGGTTTAGGGTTTAGGGTTAAGGGTTTAGGGTTTAGGGTTTAGGGGTTTAGGGTTTAGGGTTTAGGGTTAAGAGGGTTTGGGGTGTCTATAGCTCTTAGGGTTTTTAGCGTTTTGTTTTTTTTCGGGTTTTGAGGCTTTGGGTTCTTTTAGGATTTTGGGCTTAGGTTTTAATTACTGTAATCTTACAGGGTTTCTTCGGTACTCTCAGGCTTTTACAGTGTTGTGGGTCCCAAATGGGTGGTTGTGTCAATTTTAAGGTCCCCTTTCGGGTACCCTAAATACTAGGTGCCGTATTATAACAAGGACATAAAAGGGGATCCAACGAATTATTTGGTAGTTTCCGAAAATAGGGCACCCTAATATAGTAGCCTAAATAGTAGGATCCTTATTATAGGGACCCCAAAACAAAGGTACCCCTGATGTTCGGAAACTCCCATTTGGATGTCCGATGATTTTTGCAGCTCTGGTATTCTTCTTGTTGCTGTTGCCTGCCGTTTTGGGGGAGTAACATGTATGCCAAGATTCAGATTTCGGTGCCAGCGCGTCCCTGCAAATGTGGTGCGCGACATTGCGCTTCGGTGCGTTTTTGGATTTATTTTGCTGCGGAGCTGTTCGAAGTTCGGGCATTTGCTCGGGTTTTCGGTGTGGCAGCATGGGGCGGAGGTGGAGGGTTGGCCGAAATCTGAAGCTTGAAGTCCTTAGCCCAAACCGCCAAAATCACTGCTTTTTGCGGAGGCTTGGAGTCCCAGCTTCGGATTCTTGGAGACTTCGGGAAACAGGGAATGCGACTTGGGGATGCAGGGTAGCAGAACTGCCTGTGTTCAAGGCTCCGGCGGCGTAGTCTATCTTCGTGAGAAGGACAACCCTTAGCTTAAGCCCTATAACCCTACACCGTAAACTCTGAACCCTAGACCCTAACCCTCTAAACCCTAAATCAGGTGATCCTCCTCAAGCAGGTGATGAATGCCGGTGTGGAGGCCAACATTGGCCTCTCGGCTGGCAGTTGATCTCGGACTCGGCAGAACAGCAGCAGTCGTAGTAGACGCAGTGGCAGTAGTCAGAAGTAGCAGCGGTCGTCGCCGCCGTCGTAGTCGTTGTCAGCTGCAGCTGCGCCGTGACAGCTGCAGGGTTCAGGGGTAGCGTGTCTTTCAGGTGCCCACATGCTTTTCCAGTATCTTATAGTTTCAAGACTCTCAGAGTCAGAGTCTATGCCCGTAGCGTTCCTAAACCCTCCATAAAGTCTTAACACCTAACCCGACCGCTGCACGAGCCAACGCCGAACTGTCTGGTAGAGGCTTCAGGGGGCTACCCCAAATCCCAAGCCGAACTGCTCAAACCCTAAACCCTCCGGTCCACCCGCCTAAACCCCCCCTCCCCCCCCCCCGGTTCTCCCGAACCCCTAAACCTGGACCCAAAGGGCTCCGACGATGAAACCCAGAGGAGCTAAGCCGCACGCAGCCGAGGATGCATTCCGACCCAGGTTAGCATCTTCTTCTGTGACATAAAGGCGATTTGAGTCAGGTCTGGGTTTTGGGTTCAGGGATTTTGGGTTTAGGGTTCCCGTTGTGTTGGGGTCTAGAAGAGTGTGTAAAGCTCAAGGAACGCGAAGCCCGAGATACCAAAGTTCGTTCACAATCCGGAATCATTGAGGTTTGCTCCCTTTGAAGCCCTCTTGAAGCCCCCTTTAAGCCCCCTTTAAAGCCCCCTTGAAGCCCCCTTTAGGGTCTTAGGGTTTCAGAGGTTTTTGGTTCAAAAGCTCTCATGATTCGGACTTTGGGCTGCGGATCTCAAGGATTGCGGATTTCAGGGTGGCTTGAAGGCTGAGGGTCTACGACAGCAATAATTTTCCAGAATCATAAATAGCAATAGTGATACTAGGAGTTTCAATATTAACAACAACAGTCATATGAATACTGTGTAATAATGCCAACAATAGCAGTAACACTAATAATAACGATAACCACAATAATGGTCTAGTCATAGTACTGCGACTGATAACAATGGTAGTAATCGCATGAACAAGAAGAAAAGAATAGGAGGAGAATTATTGCGGAATCATACTCGTCATAATATTGCTAATGATAATACTAACGGAAGTAATGTAGTTAACCCCAACATACCACCGCTTGTGCATCCTCCAAAGGGAACACGCCTAGAGGGTCTACACCGCCAAGATGTTTGAGGCTTTCCGGATTGATGCGGGGTTGTGATGTACTGCATACTGCCGAGATTTTTGTCTTGTGAGGGTTGTGCTGCCCTAAACCCTAAACCCTAAAGCTGGGGGTTTACATAGGACTTGGGGCCGCTGTTCACATGACTTGAAGCTTCGAATAATCTCGAAGCAGCAAGTCCTTCAAAAGGGATCTATAAGGGTTCCTTTAGGGTTCCTTTAAGGGTTCCTTTAAAAGGGATCTATAAGGGTTCCTTTATGGGGCCTCAAGGGACTCCGAAAGTGCAAGTTTTGCGCGCGCGACGCAAAAAGTCGGTGAGGCACGAGCCCTCACAAACAAAACACACCACCCACTCAAAACGTACCTCGGCAACTGCAAGATTTGTGTGAATCGTAGGCAGAAAGGCGATGGCCTGTATCATGCCACACCAAACCCCTACACCATCAACTGAACACACGGAAAGCAGTCCTTCTTCCTTAGCGCAGGACTTACAACAAAGCCCCACCTAGGTGCTCCCAGAGGTGTCGAAGTCGCCATTATTTCTGTATCCTGATTGTTATGGGTGGTTGTCAAAATTGTGGTCCCTTTTTGGGTACCCTAAATATAAGGTGCCGTATTATAGTAAGGACCCAAAAAGGGACCCTAATTTTGACAACCACCCATATAGGCGCCTGAATAATTACCAATATTATTGTGGCTAGGATTTTTGTGACGCGCCCTAACAAGGGCCCGACTGTCCGCACAGAACAGAACATCCTTATTATGGCTATAGTATAATATCCCCTAAATCCCTGTTCTACTTGTTAAGGCCCCCATCGTATCGTAACTACATGGTTGCATGTTGCTGTTGCCTTTGTTGCTCCCATTACTACTACCATGATTCTAATTCATTCACAGTGTCGCCATGTCTCTACTGATGTTACTCGTATTTTGGTATCTGACTGCCCATAGACTCCAAAATCCCTTAATGAAGGAATATACCTTAAATTATAGGTAAGATCCTAATACGGTTTAAGGTTTATATTCCTTAATTAAGGGATATTGGAGTCTCTGGGTACCCTAAACTCTATAGATCCCTTAACGGAACCCTTATAGATCCCTTTAAAGGAGCCCCTTATAGATCCCTTTAACGGAACCCTTATAGATCCCTTTAAAGGAGCCCCTTATAGATCCCTTTAAAGGAGCCCCTTATAGATCCCTTTCAAGGAGCCCTTATAGATCCCTTTAAAGGAACCCTTATAGATCTCTTTAAAGGAACCCCTTATAGATCCCTTTATAGGAACCCCTTATAGATCCCTTTAAAGGAACCCCTTATAGATCCCTTTAAAGGAACCCCTTATACATCCCTTTAAAGGAGCCCCTTATAGATCCTTTAAAGGAACCCCTTATAGATCCCTTTAAAGGAACCCCTTATAGATCCCTTTAAAGGAACCCCTTATAGATCCCTTAAAGGAGCCCCTTATAGATCCCTTAAAAGGAACCCTCTACCATCCCGGTCATCCAGGGCTTCAAGGAGATCTGCACGGGGAAGACCCCTAAGGAGGTGCTTTCTTTGCCGGGAGACTCAGCGCGCTCTTACAGGATTCCTTTTTAGGGAGTATGGGGCTTAGGGTTTAGGCTTAGGAGTTTGGGGTTTAGGGGTTTGGGGTTTAGGGGTTAGGGGTTTAGGCATTATAGGGCTTAGAGTTTAGGCTTCGGGGTTTGGGGTTTAGGGGTTTGGGGTTTAGGGGTGAGGGGTTTAGGGATTACAGGGCTTAGGGTATAGAAGTCCCATTCAGCTTGCTACGAGGTCTACTTTTCCTACAGCTTCAGGGGTTCAGAGCTTTCGGTGGGGCTTTAGGATTTTGGGGTTTACGAGCTGGTTTGGCGAGTTTACGTGTTTCGGGTTTGGGACCTCATTAGTACGGACACTCCGAGACTCGACACGGGAAGCCATTCTTGAACAAGACCTGGGAGTCCTTGCAAATCCGTTTGAGCCCGGAAGCCCAGTTATCTATCTAGTGGCTCACTGCGCCCTTTTGTAATCGCCCTCTAGTACGCATAATCAACCCACGAACCGGCTATATGCAGGTACTTGGACTCTGAGCTCTTATTGCCACCAAAGCCTTGTGAAGCCCTTCAGAACTGTTATTCATGGCCCTTTAAGGGCCCTATAGATTATCCGACCTCGACCCAAGCATTTAGACCCTCGTCACAACCAACCCTTTTCCTTTCGTAAGCCCTTCCATCATGCCCTGCTTGGGGGATCATAGGAGTAAGGTTATAAGTAACTGAATTGGGGCTATAAGTAATTATAAGTATGGTTACCTTATCTATAACCCCAATTACTAAGTCCCATGATCCTTTATGTGCCAGTACAAGCCCCTATAAACCCTACAACTCCTCCTCAGGCTCGATCCAAACTCCACCCTTCAAAAAACTCCAAGCCCTGTCTACAGGAGCCCTTCCTGGGACTCTTTACAAGACCCTTTGTAGGGATCGTATTATTCGGCCTCTTACATGAACCTTGTTTAGGGACCCTGGTAGGAATCCTTATGCTAACACCCTAACACCCCAACACCCGACACACACAACCCTCGAGGCTCGACGTGGTCTTGGAAGGCGTGAACCAAGCTCTTGAGCAGAACGGAGGGACGCTGCTGGAATTTATCGGCGACGAGGCCTCGAACTCGTGCTTGTTCCATCGAACTTTTGGTGCCGAATCTCTGGAGTGTAGGGTTTTAAGGGTTCAAGGGGTTCTGAGGTTTTGTGATTAAGACTTTTTCTAGGCCCGGCTCCAGTTCTAAGTGTCGGGGCCTGAACTCGCGAGCTGAAGTCTTATTGGGAGGTTGTCAAAAGTATGGTCCCTTTTTGGGTCCTTATTGTATTTCGGCACCTAATATTTAGGGTACCCAAACAGGAGCCTTTATTTTGACAACCACCCTATTGTATTATTCAGTGTCAGTTGCACCTGCCTCTCTATCTTCAATCCCAGTCATGTTCGTGATAGGCACTTGCTGTTGTGTTTCGTTGCTGGAGTTGTCTGGGGCGTTGTTTTTCAATGGTGTGGCTTAAGTGTCTTTTGTTGTTTTTGTGTTGCGTGCGTGGTTGAGGTCGCTTGATTTGGGATCTTGGGTTGCATGCCCAGCTTATACGTGATGAAACCGACCTTCCAGGAAGTGCCGTCTGAGACTGCCACAGGCCAGGTAGTTTGTGACGCGCGAGGGTCAGCTGACAAGCTTGCGGATTGCATGTTTGTCGCTGCTTGCCTGTTGGTCCTTTCTGCATCTGATGTGGTGTGCAAGCTGAAACGTTGTTTGGTTGATGAAACCGACCTTCAAGGAAGTGCCGTCTGAGACTGCCACAGGCCAGGTAGTTCGTGACGTGCGAGGGTCAGCTGACAAGCTGGCAGATTGCATGTTTGTCGCTGCTTGCCTGTTGGTCCTTTCTGCATCTGATGTGGTGTGCAAGCTGAAACGTTGTTTGGTTGATGAAACCGACCTTCAAGGAAGTGCCGTCTGAGACTGCCACAGGCCAGGTAGTTCGTGACGTGCGAGGGTCAGCTGACAAGCTGGCAGATTGCATGTTTGTCGCCGCTTGCCTCTTTCTGCGTCGGATGTGGTGCGCAAGCTGAAACGTTGTTTGGTTGATGAAACCGACCTTCCAGGAAGTGCCGTCTGAGACTGCCACAGGCCAGGTAGTTTGTGACGCGCGAGGGTCAGCTGACAAGCTGGCAGATTGCATGTTTGTCGCTGCTTGCCTCTTTCTGCGTCGGATGTGGTGTGCAAGCTGAAACGTTGTTTGGTTGATGAAACCGACCTTCCAGGAAGTGCCGTCTGAGACTGCCACAGGCCAGGTAGTTTGTGACGCGCGAGGGTCAGCTGACAAGCTGGCAGATTGCATGTTTGTCGCTGCTTGCCTCTTTCTGCGTCGGATGTGGTGTGCAAGCTGAAACGTTGTTTGGTTGATGAAACCGACCTTCCAGGAAGTGCCGTCTGAGACTGCCACAGGCCAGGTAGTTTGTGACGTGCGAGGGTCAGCTGATAAGCTTTCGGGTTGGATGTCTGTCGCTGCTTCCTGTTGATTGGGGCCTTTCTGCGTCGGATGTAGTGTGCAAGCTGACACGTTGTTTGGCTGATGAAACCGACCTTCAAGGAAGTGCCGTCTGAGACTGCCACAGGCCAGGTAGTTCGTGACGTGCGAGGGTCAGCTGACAAGCTTGCGGATTGCATGTTGCTCGCTGCTTGCCTGTTGGTCCTTTTTGCATCTGATGTGGTGTGCAAGCTGAAACGTTGTTTGGTTGATGAAACCGACCTTCCAGGAAGTGCCGTCTGAGACTGCCACAGGCCAGGTAGTCTGTGACGTGCGAGGGTCAGCTGACAAGCTTGCGGATTGCATGTTTGTCTCTGCTTGCCTGTTGGTCCTTTCTGCATCTGATGTGGTGTGCAAGCTGAAACGTTGTTTGGTTGATGAAACCGACCTTCAAGGAAGTGCCGTCTGAGACTGCCACAGGCCAGGTAGTTCGTGACGTGCGAGGGTCAGCTGACAAGCTTTCGGGTTGGATGTTTGTCGCTGCTTTCCTGTTGGGGCATTTCTGCGTCGGATGTAGTGTGCAAGCTGAAACGTTGTTTGGTTGATGAAACCGACCTTCCAGGAAGTGCCGTCTGAGACTGCCACAGGCCAGGCAGTTTGTGACGTGCGAGGGTCAGCTGACAAGCTGGCAGATTGCATGTTTGTCTCTGCTTGCGTCTTTCTGCGTCGGATGTGGTGCGCAAGCTGAAACGTTGTTTGGTTGATGAAACCGACCTTCCAGGAAGTGCCGTCTGAGACTGCCACAGGCCAGGTAGTTTGTGACGTGCGAGGGTCAGCTGACAAGCTTGCGGATTGCGTGTTGCTCGCTGCTTGCCTGTTGGTCCTTTTTGCATCTGATGTGGTGTGCAAGCTGAAACGTTGTTTGGTTGATGAAACCGACCTTCCAGGAAGTGCCGTCTGAGACTGCCACAGGCCAGGTAGTTTGTGACGTGCGAGGGTCAGCTGACAAGCTTGCGGATTGCATGTTTGTCGCTGCTTGCCTGTTGGTCCTTTCTGCATCTGATGTGGTGTGCAAGCTGAAACGTTGTTTGGTTGATGAAACCGACCTTCAAGGAAGTGCCAAGCTTTTGGGTTGGATGTCTGTCGCTGCTTCCTGTTGATTGGGGCCTTTCTGCGTCGGATGTAGTGTGCAAGCTGACACGTTGTTTGGCTGATGAAACCGACCTTCCAGGAAGTGCCGTCTGAGACTGCCACAGGCCAGGTAGTTTGTGACGTGCGAGGGTCAGCTGACAAGCTTGCGGATTGCATGTTTGTCGATGCTTCCTGTTGATTGGGGCCTTTCTGCGTCGGATGTAGTGTGCAAGCTGAAACGTTGTTTGGCTGATGAAACCGACCTTCCAGGAAGTGCCGTCTGAGACTGCCACAGGCCAGGTAGTTTGTGACGTGCGAGGGTCAGCTGACAAGCTGGCAGATTGTATGTTTGTCGCCGCTTGCCTCTTTCTGCGTTGGATGTGGTGTGCAAGCTGAAAAGTTGTTTGGCTGATGAAACCGACCTTCCAGGAAGTGCCGTCTGAGACTGCCACAGGCCAGGTAGTTTGTGACGTGCGAGGGTCAGCTGACAAGCTGGCAGATTGTATGTTTGTCGCCGCTTGCCTCTTTCTGCGTTGGATGTGGTGTGCAAGCTGAAAAGTTGTTTGGCTGATGAAACCGACCTTCCAGGAAGTGCCGTCTGAGACTGCCACAGGCCAGGTAGTTTGTGACGTGCGAGGGTCAGCTGACAAGCTGGCAGATTGCATGTTTGTCGCCGCTTGCCTCTTTCTGTGTCGGATGTAGTGTGCAAGCTGAAAAGTTGCTTGGCTGATGAAACCGACCTTCAAGGAAGTGCCGTCTGAGACTGCCACAGGCCAGGTAGTTTGTGACGTGCGAGGGTCAGCTGATATGCTTGCCTGTAATTAGGGCTTTTCCACATGGGATGTGTTGTGCAGCATAAGAAAGGTCGTTTTGTTGATGATACCGGAAGTGACATCTGTGACTACCACAGGAAGATCGCTTCAATTAAGTTTCCCCGCAGCCCTGCAGCTCGCGCAACCGCATGGAAACGTTCCAGAAAGGGATGATGCCGCTTGAGGGTCAAAGCCCAATTTCATCCTACCCACTCGATCCCTGAATTCAAATATCAACCCCCGAAAGAATTATGAGACTCATTCCCGAAAACTGCGTCATAATAATCCCGTCCCTGGGTCCCTTAAAGAGCACTTAAGGCCCTTCTGTCAGCCTTCCCGCAGTCGCAGAGAGAGCCAGCGAGCACAGCCGTAGCAGCGCCGAGAAACCCAGCCTCAATAGCCTATGGGGGTTAGGGATCCCTAGGGTTCCTTTAAAGGGATCTATAGGGGTTCCTTTAAAGGGATCTATAAGGGTATCATCATAGGAGGCCAAAAGTGGTTTTAGCCTATGAGGGTTTAGCAGGGATTCGGGTTCCCACATTAGAATTCATATTAAGGAATCTCTACCCCAAGAATCTTAAACTCCCCGTTTGGCCTCCCATCTCAAAATCAATCGACATGGGGCGGGGGGGTGAGGTGGGGTCGGGTATGATTTAGGAGTTGACATTAAAGCCATAAGGATTCTAAAGTGCGAACCCTTGACAGAAATCATAGACATCCTAACACCAACGCTATCACCGGCTCGATGAGCCCTTATAAACCGCTTGGAAAACTTCGAATCTTCTTTGAGGGTTTAGGATTTAGGGTTTAGGGTTCTATAGTGGTTCTTGCGAGGGTCGTCTTAATCCAAGGGTAGAAGGAGGGACCCTTAATAAGGACCCCTACCCTATAATGGGCTATATCATTGGTATATAATAGCTACATTAAGGGTATATGCCTTGGGGTCCTTATTAAGGGTCCCTCCTTTTTTCCTTGGATTTAAGGTTTACAGCGTTGGTTTCCTGGCGGACACAACCTCTTGAATCATATCATGATACCACACCCCATGTATTGTGTAAGGCAGTTTTGGCAAGAGAGGTTTTTGAGTTTTGTGAGTCCTTCTTAGAGGCTTAAAGGCCACAAGAATCTATCAATTCTCCGACGATTCGTTGTGTGGAAAGCTCATACGGACGGGCTCATACGGACGGGCCTTTAGGGCGAACTTTAGGGTTCAAGATATCGGCACGCGTCAGGTTTTGGCTGTCTTCAACGCCCCGAAGAAGGCAGGGCTGCTAAATCACCAGGCTTTCGGAGGCCTTTTGCTACCTTTAAGGGTCTCCTTTAAGGGATCTCTAGAGTTTTAAGGTTTAGGGTGATGTAATTTCATATGGGTGGTTGTCAAAATTAGGGTCCCTCTTTGGGGTCCTTATTATAATACGGCACCTAATATTTAGGGTACCCCAAAAAGGGGCCCTAATTTTGACAACCACCCATAATATGGGCTTCGCGAGCTTCTGAGACGGGGCGGCACGAGGGGTTAGAAGCTGCCAAGACCCTGTAATATTGACCATAAGGATTATATATAGGATTATATTAGGGCCCTATTATATTCCTATTATACCACTATGATCGTCCTATTATAGGCCATATTATATTCCTATTATACCACTGTTACAGGGTGGGGGCAGCTTCTAAACGAGGGGCTTCAGAGGGTCACTTCACTGCGGGCTCGAGGTAGTTGATCGCTTTTGGGCGGGCTTAGGGTTTGGGGTTTAGGGTTTAGGGCATGAGCGCTTCTGAAGCCTTAGATCCAAATACAGGGGTCCGAATATAGGGGCCGGGGTAATTGCCTAATTATACTCTTTTTTGGGGGCTCCTTAGTCTGAATATAGTATAATGGGCCCCAAAGCCCTATTCTAATTACTGAGGCCTCTACATCAAAACCCAAGCCCCCAGCACCAAAGCCATCACCCCAACGGTTTAACATGAGGGTTGGAGTTGCAACATGAATGGGAGTGTTCGCTGATCGTCCTTTAGCTGTAGGGCAATATACCCACCCACCCATTCCCCAAAAACAAAAAAACCCTGAACTGCCCCAAACCTCAACCCTGTACCTAACAACTCAAAACGGCATAGTATAAATGCCTAAACAGTTAATTACCAACATTATTCCTTGAGGTCCCTTATTCAACTAATATAAAACATGTACCCCTGAACCCTATTCTGATTAGTAAGGGCCCCATATCAAGCTTTCCGGCGGGGGTCTTGCGAGAATGATTCCTAGCATCTTGCGACCGGTGGGAATTCTGTGATTTTCTGATAAAGGGTGTTTTCTCAAAGGGTTCTGTATGGATTCTGTAGGAATCTGAACACTTAGCAGCCTAATAATATACCCTAGCTGCCCCACTCTATTGATTAAGTGCCCCTCTTTCCAGGCGTTGAGAGTTTCGGAGATAGGTGTGGGATTCCAGGGTTTTGGGGGGGTTCAAGGTTTTTAGAGATTGGGCTTAAAGGCTTAGGATTTCCAACAGGAGCTTCGGAGGTCAGCTTGGTGGTTTCGAACTTCTTCTGCAATGTCTTCAAAGACCTCCCCAAGATTGCAACCGAAGAAGCTGTAAGGTTCAGGGTTAAGGGTGGTTCTTACAACACAGCTCCCCTCCTACAACACAGATGCCTTCTTAGATTTAACTTCACAGCAACCCCTGTGACAGGTGATGTTCTCCCGATTACAAGCCCCGTTAAGTTCATGAACCACCACGCTCTTCTGTTTATGAATTGCGAAATATTGAAACCCACCGTAACACCTCAACCCCTAAGCCCTAAACCCTAAGCTTTAAGGTTTACATTCTAAGCCCTAACCCCTAAACCCTAAACTGCCCTAAACCCGAAGCTTTAAACCCTAAACCCCAAGAAACCCTAACCGCTCTAAACCCTCGGCTTTTAAACCCCATAAACCCCAGAAACCCCCCCCCCCCCCCCCACCCCTAAACCCTAAACTGCCCTAAGCCCTGTAAGCTTCAAACCCTAAACCCAAGCAACCCTGGCCCTAAACCCGAGGCTTTTAATCCCTATAAACCCCAACCCTTCTTTCCCCCACCCCGTGTCGAGATCGAAATGTACCTTAACCCCTAAACCCTAAGCCCTCACCCCTAAACCCAAGAAACCCTGGCCCTAACCGCCCCCGTGTCGAGATCGAGATGTACAACCTGGCGGCGGTGAATGCCGCGCTCGAGGCCATTCAGATCTCAGCTCGAAACTCAGGGCACCCACCGTGGAATCTACGTGGTGGTATGTGCAGATGCCTACACACTATAGCATGGTAGAATATGGTATAATGTAACAGAGACCTACACACTATATATAGCATAATAGAATATGGTATAATATAACAGAGACCTACACACTATATATAGCATAATAGAATATGGTGTAATATACTCTATTAACTATGTAGTATAGCAAAAGTACATTTAAAAAGTACATTTATGTCATATACTATGTTATAGCAAATCTAACAAGGCATATTTTGATATAGTGCCATATATTGCTTATCGTGTAGTATAGTACAGTATCGAGTCGTAAATATACAATATACTACAACATTTCATCATATAAGATACCGCGGTATGATATGGCATGGTATGCTAAGACGCGATGTGACAGGATACGATACGGTACGGTGTTATGTATACAAAGGACATATAACGATATACACCCCTAAACCCTAAACCCTAAACGCATGCCTGCCTTGGCCTCGAGCGATGCTTCGAGGACTCATGGGCAAGGCCGTGTCAGGGAAGACAAGGTTTCGAGTGGAGGGTTCAGGCATGATCCTAGGCCCCCAAAACGCAAAAAAACAAATATTCGGATAGGGATATCCCATATAAACCCATTTCTACAATGAAGCCCAATAAGGTAGGGATATCCCTATAAAATGCCTATGCTTATGTGCTTGTTGGGTCCCTTAGATTAGGGTGTAGGTTTTAGGATACGATACTTGGCTCAGGTATGACTAGTGTTAGGTAGGATTCAGGGTCCAGGTTTAGGGTTGATGGTCTCACGGTCTCACTTGTGATAGAGGTTCAGCAGAATGGGGGCTCTACATTTACCCATGCTTTGGGCCCAACCCGCTCATGGACCCGTGATATACCCTGCGCAATGCTGCGCGCAAATCTCGGTCGATGAGGAAAACCTCATCGACGAGCCGGTCCGTCGGAATCCCTGGACAGAGTTGGAGTCGGGCATCTTTACCTGGCAATAGATTTCTACAGTAATTCATTGTCGGACCACACATGTCTACAGTCATGGTGAGGTTTAGAGCGCCGTATGGAGCTTGAGTGTCAGGGGCGACATTTCAGAAGAGCTAGTTTGCATGGCCCTGGTGTAGACTTGCGGTCTGAAGGGTTTGCGGTTTCTTACAGACTGCAGTCAAGGGGGTTCCGGGCGGGAGTTCAGTATAATAGTCTAGTGTACAGTATGGTGGCCTAATGCTTTAAGTTCAGTGTTCGATTACGTAGGATTTAACGAGTTGTTAAAGTCGCCTTACGTAGGATTCAACGAGTTGTTAAAGTCTCCTTACGTAGGATTCAACGAGTTGTTAAAGTCGCCGTGGTTCGCCCGCCAGTCCTGTTATTTTTCTTCGCTATGATACTGGAGAAAGGGTAGGCGGATTCTTGAGGGTTATTGGGAAACCCTCGTTATCCTAAGTATCGGGATACTCACTATGAAAACCTTAGATAAGATACCCGTTAACACCCCGATCCTCAAATTCGGACCGGTTGGTTGACACTCGCTGCTTCAAACCCTGGACAGCATCAGCTGTTACCGAGAAGAGCTGTAGTGTCATTAGTATAGAAGCCCAAGTCGTTGGTGATGCCCTGACACTTGAGAGATGCTGATCGTTAGGGCTCCTTGTCACGATGGTCGTCTCTAATAGAAGCCCATTACAGGTGGGTAGTTCCTCTTCCATAGTACTCCCATAAGAGCCCCTTTACCTTATAGGAGTGGTATGGAAGCCTTATGGGAGACTACCCACCTTATAACTACCCACCTGTAAATGGCTTAGATCTAAAGACCCCCAAGCCGCAAAGCAACACCAAGGTCTGATTCTGCAGGGTTTCTGCGAGCCCTAAACCCTAAACCGCGATGGTTCTTGGCCGTATCAAGCCCCGAAACCCTGGCACTGGGCTCCTAGCTTCGCCTTGCAGGTGCGGTAGAGGTATGTAATTTGCGACACTATACCCAACATGGCCTGTTGTAAACTGTTATGGCCCCTGTAGAATGTGTTTTTTTTCTCCCGAGCTTTCGTTCCTAATTCGGGGTTGCGGTCTACGAAAATGTGCAGTAGGCTTGGCATTTTGGACTTGGGATGGGAATCTCAACAACGACTACCTGTCGTTTTTCCCATCAACTTTTCGGGCAGTTGTGACATGTACTTTAACGTTCAGCATCCTTTTAGAAGCCCATGCAGCAGAACCCACCGCAACTACCGCCCTGCGTGGCGGTTTCATGTGATGAGTCTTACAGCCCAGACAGGCACAAGGCATGAAGCTTAACTTCGGGTCTTCCACCCCCAAAAAGTCACTGGCTTTGAGGTTTGCAAAACGCTGTGATCCAGCATTCTTGTTTTTAAAAACAAATTTGTGTGTTGAGTTTGGAGTCTACATAGACCCCAAATTACCCCTGCGTTCTTGTTCGAACGGTGGTTTGCCCGATCCCTACCAAAATCTGAGGCATACCCATAATAGCTCAGTGATTTTGGACTAGAAGGGATCCAACGACCTCAGAACACTTTTTCATGTCTCATAGAATACATGCCAAACTCCTGAGGGCGCTTTCAGCTTGGCTTCATCCGTCGACCTTTTCGGGCCAAACTGGTCTCCACAGTACCAAGGGCCGGTAGCTGTCCTGAAACCCTAAACTCAGGGCCCTACCCAAACCCCTAACCCCTATAACCCTCGACTCAAAACCCTAAACCCTAAGCCCAAAATCACGCAAACGCAAAAACCCTAGGCCCTGACACTCTAACCCCTGCAAGCTTAAGTAGGTGCATCGAAAGCACGACCGTGGAGGAAGACGGGTGTTTTCAATTGTTGGTGCTTCGGGCTTAGGGGCGTAGGCCAGGATTCGTCCAGCACCGTAAACGCAGAACCCTATAAAACCCTTCTTTTGGGGGGATTCCTTTTTATGATTTCCTTGCATAGTGGGTCCTTAAGAAGGTAGGTTCTTTAGGGTTCCGGTAAGCCCTAAACCGCGGCGTTTTACGATGTTTCAACCTTTAAGGCTTCCGTAATGCAAGCTTGGATCGATGCCCAAAACCCAAAACCCTAAACCCCTTTAGGGTTTAGGGGTCTTCAATTTACCGGCAATGTTTTTGTTCAAAAAAGTCTGCACTCCGGCTTTCTGTCGGATCCTACATGAAAGCAAGCCCTTACAGGATAAGGCGAGCCTCAAAGCATCTTCTTCGTAAGTACCCTAAGGCCCCATAGTAGTTCCTTTGGGATTACCTAATAGGATTCTAAATATGAAGCACAAAATCAATAAGGAAATGCTTTGGGGCCTTAGGGTAACCTATATAAGCCTTACAGAATTCCTGATAGAAGCCTTGGTGGCAAATGTGCCAGCCGCTTGCCGGTGCGGCGCCGGAGGCAGAAGGTACCACAGGGGGACTTGATTGGAAAGGGGCTTGGCTTGGAGGTATGTTATAGTATAGTTGTAAGCCCTTATTTGGCGAACTGCTCATCTGTAGATACAATGCAAACCACCGCGGCAAGCCCAGCTAGAAGTTGACGAGAGCTACCAGGGTAGGCAACATGCTTTCTTACTTCTGGTACTGCAATTTTAGGAGTTGACTCAGAGCCCAGAGGTCCATGCAGCCAATTATAAAATCACAATCTAAGACATTTACAGGTGGGCAGTTATAAGGTGGGTAGTTTCCCATAAGCCTCCCATACCACTCCTATAAGGTAAAGGGGCTCTTATGGGAGTACTATGGAAGAGGAACTACCTACCTGTAAGGGGCTTCTAAATAATGTTAAGCTATTGAGTCTTGCCCTCTGAATCGAAAACAGCCTTGGAAGCAAGAGCGCTAGCTTCGATAGGCGCGCAGACACAGCCCAGCTGTAAGGTTGGAATAGGAGTGGTTGTCAAAATGAGGGTCCCGTTTTGGGTACCCTAATTATTAGGTGCCGTACTATGGCAGGGACCCAAAAAGGGACCGTAATTTTGACAACCACCCCTCTGAGTGTCCTCAAGCATGTAAACGAAACCTTTCAACGTCACAGTGGTGAGAACAGTCAGCTGTTACATGGGTAACGAGGCTTTTGGGGTTAAGATCGGCGAACTCAAGCCCGTCGTCGAATTGCACAAGTCGTTATCGTAATTACAGCGGTCCCGTGAAGTTCCAGTTGAGATTAGTATTCCGAATACCGCAGCCTGCTTGGGAATACAACTGGAGATGCTTGGGAATACAACTGGAGATGGAAAAAGCCATGCGATGTGATCCAGCGTCTATGCTCCCGACGAGCAGTTATATGGTAGTTCCGTGGCGGGGTACAAGTAACAGTATGGTTGCATAGCTTTCGTAATTTTAGACTATATCGGGATTGTTGCTATGCTAGCCCCAAAGATGCACACACACGAGGACCCAAACCCGAAACATCGTCAACCCCAACAGCATCAAAAGAAAGCTCTACACACTACACAGCCATAAAATCATAAAGCCTTACGCGTGGATATAGAACCTATCAGACGAGCCCATCATACACCCATCGTGCACGGCAAGTCTTTGCTGTAATGCCCTGTTGACAGCTCTATCGTCACCCTACTAAAGCTCTCAGCCCCAAACCCCGAATCCCACGCCGGAAGAAAGCCTAAACCCTACACCCTAAACAGCTGTAGCACTGCAGGGCTGGGTGATGGCCCACAGGGCGATGAAGCCTTCGAGGGCACCGTGGCGAAGGCCCGGCTCTCTCTCTCTCTCTCTCTCTCTCTCTCTCTCTCTCTCTCTCTTTGTGACAAAGATCCTACGGCTGATGATGCAAATCTTGGGGTAAAGGGATCTATAAAGGGTAGCATTAAGGGGTTCCTTTAAGGGATATTTAGGGTTTGGGGGTTTAGGGCTGATGCTGTAAATCCTGCATTACCCATAATAAGGAACATAACACAATTCCCATAGTTTAATCTCAAAGTATTGTTGATGATGTAAATCCTAGGGTTCCTGTAAAGGGATCTATAAGGGTAGCTTTAAGGGGCTCCTTCAAGGGATCTACAGGGGGTTTAGGGTTTAGGGTTGATGATATAAATCCTGCATTACCTTAAGGACCCTAAACTATGGGAGTTATGGTATATTCCTTGTTATGGGTAATGCAGTGTTTATATCATCAACCGTAGGTTGGGTACTGCCCCCACCTAGTAACAGTTGAATAATTTTTATTTTATACTAGGCCCTTAAGAGTATCCCGATTGTAGACTGGCACTGTATGAGGGCAGGCCACCCCAATCCTAGGGTTTAGGGTCCAGGTAAGGTTTGGTGTCCGAAAAGAGCACTTCAGGCTTACGGGACAGGGACCTACTTTGAGATTGATTGTGGGGGATTCCGTGGTGTCTTGATGCGCTTTGTTTTTTGTCAGAAACGGTGTCGGCGCTCAAAAAACATAGGCGCAAGAAGGATATCGGCTCTTATACTAAATCCCTACGTAGTCTAAAGCCCAAAACCCCTAAACCCCTAAACCCTAAAACCCCCAAACCCTAATCTAGGTAGGGCTTTGGGACATTTTATATTTTCCCTTATTGGGAATAAGAGGATCCTATTTACTAAATTTTTCAAAGGCTTTAAAAGCCCCACCTAGTAATCGGGTTCCGGGTTCAGGTCTCAAGGGTGAGAAAGCTTAGAAGCCTGTGGGCCCAGGGCTTCAGAGTTTGGGCCTCAGATGTTCGAGAGGAATCTAATATAGGGACTTGAATAATTACCTATAATATTTTCGGGGGTTCCTTATTATACCTTAATTATAACTATAGTGTAAGATACCTCAAAAGCCTATTCTGAATATTAAGGTGCCTGCATGATGACGTCTGAGCTAGACATACAAAAGGGGCCCTGGAAGCGGGAATACTTAGACCAGGTGCTTTGCATAGTGTTTTTTCCAGGGAGTTGATCGGCTTGGGGGGTTATGGCTTGGGTACTGCCCCACCTCAGTAACAGTTGGATAATATTCATAATATCGACATATTAGGACCTTAATAGTAGCCCCATCAAAGACTGTTACTGTATGGGGGCAGTGCCCAAGTAATCAGTATCAAAGGGGAAGAGGAGGGACCCTTCATGGGGACCCCTACCCTATAATGGGCTATATCATGGTAGTATATTAGCTATATTAAGGGTATATACCTAGGGGTCCTTATTAAGGGTCCCTCCTTTTACCCTTGGACAGTACGGGAATATGATTACCGCTTGCCGGCTCTGGGACATGGTCTTAAGGAGGACTGTCTCTCAGAGAGCCCAAGGGGCCCCTTAACTAAGGAATATAGCTTAAATCAAATTAAGGATCCTACTATACTTCAAGGTATATTCCTCAATTAAGGAATATTGGAGTCTCTTGAAATCATAATATGAAGCCCTATATAGTTTAAGCCATATTCCTCAATTAAGGGGTATTGGGCTCTCTGGGCTTGTCGGACCTGGACGTGAAGATTTGCGGTCGCACCCTAGGTTTGCTAGGTTCGGGTTAACGTGAAACCTTAAACCCTAAAACCAAAACCCTAAACTCTAAACTCGCTCTAACAGGGGCATAATACAATGGGATACCAGCATCGCGCCCTTCTTCCTTGCCCTAGATTGTAAACCGCAAGCTGGCAAGGAAACTGCAAACACGCCAAGCCTGAGACCCTAGCGAAGAAGGCCTCAACGAAGCACTCCTAAAGCACTTGACACAGGTTCGTCACCATGGTCGTCTCGTGCTGCTGGAACTACATGGGTGGTTTTCAAAATTATGATCCCTTTATGGGTACCCTAAATATTCGGTGCCGTATTATAATAAGGACCCCAAAAGGGACCCCACCCATATGGTGCGAGGAGTTTGGAGTTTGGGCAGATTTTGTACAAGGCTTTCAAAGGTTCGCGTGAAGGTTTTTGCAAGGACTGGCGATGAGGATTGTATAATGGTTTTGGCTATAAAGGCTCCTACCTTAAACTACCAAACCCTACTTTTTTGTAGGTTCTTATTATAAGCCCTAATATGGATCCTTAAAGGGACCCTGCAAAAAAGTAGGCTTTGGGGAGGTTCAGGTAGGGTTTGGGGATGAAGAGTGCAGGGGATTTGGGCTCAGAGCGTATAGCGGTTACGGCACATGCCAATGTATACTATAACTTACTGTACCTGGACCCCAAAAGTATGTAGAATAATAGCCTATTTTATGGGTCTTGGGCCATTTTTTTACCTACTTTGGGAGGTTAAGGTAGGCGCTTTCGGGAAAATCGGGCTTTAGGTCTCATTCAGGTCCTATTAGGAAGGTTGTAGGATTTATACGCTTTGAGGGGTCATCTCACAAGGTAGTAGAGCGGAAACGGAATGCTGTCGCAGCATTGGAAAGCTTTCTGAGGCTTCTTGAACTTCATTAATTAATTAGTTAGCAAGCAGTCAATTATATAATTGAATATGTAATTACTGAGTTAATTAGTTAGTTAGTTAGTTAGTTAGTTAATTAACTATGTAATTAACTAAGGAATTACTTAGCACATTCCTTCGTTAGTTGTTCAGCTATTTTTCGTCATTTCATGAATTCATTCATGACTTCATTAATCCGCCCTGCCTTAGGCATTGGTATTTGCCATCGAAGTCCTACTACCTGTGGTTCGTCTTGGGTTTAGGGTTTAGGGCACCAGGCTGAGACGTGATGCTATTCATGAATACGGGGAGCTTCCAAATGCATGGCAGTTGTAAACCCTATAGCATCCCATGCTGAACTTGTACCACGAAAATGAAAAGCAAGCCCTCAACCTTTAGGGTTTTATTAGGTTGGATTTTGGGATATTTTCATTTTCCTTACTTGGGTTGGTAAGGGACCCTATATTTGAATATTGTTTAGGGTGTTTAAAGGCCAGCCCAGTTTAGGTCGAACCCTAAACCCTAAACCCTACCTATCCTGTGAGTATGTCGACATCAGCCCCGCGGCTCCCCGACAATTTCTCAACTCAAACCGCAATCCCTTCCCGAAGTCGATTGGGAAAAAGCTTGAACATCAGTAATTTATCCAATGATAACCATAGTATGGCAGATCCCGCATCCTATCCTACTTGCTAAGGCTGGGATCCTTGCTATACTTGGAGGGTCGGGGGACTTAGTATCTGGTTATTTTAAGGACTTATAAGTGCCATAACCCCAATTAGGGTCCCTTTTAGGGTACTTATAAGTCTACTTACTACCTACTTACTAAGTCCCCCGACCCTCCAAGTAGCCCTTCTCAGGGGAGGGTTGCTACCCATCAGAGGTCTACATTAACCCCGCCCCGTCAGCAGCTGGAAACTGGAACAAGGATGCTTTGTGCTGTCACTTCTGTGTGCATTGCGATGCGGAAGCCTTTTATGTATGCACGTATGTATGTATGCACGCATGTATATCATAAGCCACCCAAAATCGTAGAACAGCTGAGGTTTGTGAAGCTCTCCGACGAAACCGGAGCCGAATTCGATGTAGTCTTCGACTGGAGGCGGGCATCGGGGATGTAAGGCTAAACCAGTCCCCAAACCCTCTGGTAATTCTTTGGGATTTGGAAGGCTTTGGCTGTTGTTGCTGAGGTTTTTGTGGGCTTTGGGGGTAGCAGGGTTTTAGGAGACGGTTGATGATATAAATCCTGCATTACCTTAAGGACCATAAACTATGGGAATTATGGTATACACCTTATTGTGGGTAATGCAGGATTTATATCATCAACCGTAGTGGATCTCGAGCTTTCGGATTCCAGGACCTTGGGCTAAAGGCATGACATGCGGTCCACAAGAAGCCGTAGGGCGCAACTCCTTAGGTCGGTTCCAGCAATTTTGGGGTCGGAATAATCATTTGCACGGGTTCTCATAGTATGCCGTCACCTATCCTTAAGGCATTATTGGATGTACTATCTTCTATGCTAAGGTACGATAAAGTAGCTGAAGGTTCTGGCATTCGGGGTAGAAAGCCGATAAACTCAAAAGAATGAAGGAGACGGCAGTCGGCTGGGGAGGGGAAGCGGTGACAAGGGGGAGGGGGGAAGGGTGCAGCAGGAAAACCTGGAACGAGGGATGGTGAGGCTCAGACCAGAACCCAAAGCCCTCCAAAACGAAACAGCCTTCCAAACCCGAAACCCTCAAAAACTACACAGCCCTAAACCCTTGTCCTGCAAGTGACAGCTACCCTAAGGCTCCAAAGTAGTTCCTTTTTGGGGTTCATATATAGAATCCTATAAGGTAATCCCAAAAAGGAACTACTATGGAGCCTCTGTGTAACCATTCCATGGCGGATCTGGCGTTGAAGGCTTCAGTTACCTCATGAAAGGTGAATCTCATATATGCGTTCCTTATTACCACTTTGCCAGATTCATTACGTTCAAGAACTCATTGGAAGACTTGTCGAGACTCCACCAACATTCCGTGCGAATCCACGGAATGCCAAGCCTTTCATGGTGAACGCCCCACCATCTCCCCTGCTTCTTTGCACGTTACCGAGCTCGCCAAACGCTACTCGAGCTGCTAAGTCCGCTATATCGGGGCCATAAACCTCTGAATCCATTCGACATAAACCTTAAGCTTATCGGAAGTAACCCCTGTAAGCAAGCGCATGCTGGGGGACTTGCGCCCTTAGCCTGAAAGAAGAATCTGAACCTCCCTGAAGGCCTCGCTCCCCTTCGCGGCTGACACAACAAAATGCTGACTAAGTACCTCAACCCCACGTAACCTACCTTTTTTAGGGTTCCCTAGTATGATTTCTTTATATCAGTCCTTAAAAAGGTAGGTTACGTGGGGTTAAGGTAGTTTCAAGCTGGAGTTGTAATTGTAAGTAGGATAACACCCCAACTGGTACTTATAGGTTTGTTGTTATGCTACAGACGAATTCCGCAGATCTTTTAATTTTAAGTAGGGCTAAGTAGGGCAGGAACCACAAGCATAAACCCCTCTAAAGCACTACATCATCGTATGAGCAGCCTCTAAAGCCCTATGAAGCGCCATGAAGCCCTAGAACGACACCTGAAGCCCTAAATCTTAAGTCCTGAACCCCAGACCTTAAACCCTAATCCCTAAATCCCCTAAATCCCCTTAAAAAGGGGCGCTTTAAAAACAAATCCCCTAAGTCCCCCCAGCAGCCCTTTGTTGCGGAGGTTTTTCGAGCATGAAAACAGCCCGCGACCGTTCCCTCCCAAGTCCGGGATCAAGGCTCGGTGCAGGGTTTCCCAGAGACTCCAATATTAGGGACCCAAAAAAGCACATAAGCATAAGCATTTCATGGGGATATCCCTACCTTATTATTGGGCTTTATTATAAGGGGATATATATATATATATATATATACACGCTCGGTGCAGGGTTTCCCAGAGACTCCAATACCCCTTAATTAGGGAATGTTCCTTAGGGTTTAGGGTTTAGGGGTTTAGCGTTTAGGGTTTTGGGATCCTATTATAGTTTAAAATGTATATTCCTGAATTAAGGGAGGGTTCCATGAGACCCCAATACCCCTTAATTACCTCAACCCCACGTAACCTACCGTTTTTAGTGTTCCCTAGTATGATTTCTTTATATCAGTCCTTAAAAAGGTAGGTTACGCGGGGTTAAGGTAGGGAATATTCCTTAAATCAGATTGGGGGTCCAATTTTATTTTACGGTACATTCCTTAAATTAAGGGATATTGGAGTCTCTGGGTTCAAGGGCAGTTTAAGGGTTTAGGTTTGGGTGTTCAGGGTTTCGGTGACTTTAAGGTTTCTGTCTTATTGATAAGACTAGGGTTTCCTCACCGAGAGAGCCCAAGGGGCCCCTTAATTAAGAGATATAGCTTAAATCATAATATGAAGCCCTATATAATTTAAGCCATATTCCTTAATTAAGGGGTATTGGGCTCTCGGGGTAAAGGGTTCCTGAAAGGGGTCTATAACAGGACTTAGGCTTCACGGGATTTCGAGGTTTGTTTTGTTGGTTTTCCTCTGGGTGTTTATATGTTGTGCTGTGGTTTTATAGAGTTTGCAGAGGAGCCCCGACCCTATAATAGTGACTAGAAGGATTATATTTGGGCCCTTCTTTTACAGGGTGGGGGCCCCTTCTAAGGTTTACGGTTGTATTATTGGGGGGCTGTTTCGGGTTCAAGGTTCTAGGGCCCACTCAGGGCCCAGGGCACATTCGGGTCGCCTTGTAAGGTCCCCGGAGCACCGCCCCACCATTGAGGGCCACACACCGGTCTATTCCCTAAGGGTCCAAGTACCCAAATAGTAGGGTTTCAAGGTCCCAAAACCATTCAGAGTATGGATTTTGGGACCTAAAACCCTACTATTTGGGTACTTGGACCCTCTGGGATTGGGATCCGAGCCCGGTGCACACTCCCAGGGCGTGCAGAGGTCTCGAATCAGCAGATCCCCACAACACGGCTCCACACATCGCCCTGTAAAACAAGCCCCTTACAGAATCCGCCCCAAACCGCTACGCCCGAAACTCTGAACCCTCAGCTTTACACCGTCTTTACAGAAACGCCCCGGGCCCAAAGGTAAGCATAAGCTATTGAAAACAACCTCCGCATAAAGAAGTTATCTTCAAAAGTTGCTTATGTTCAGGTGTTGTGTTGGCTCCGACCTCCCTAAGAACAGAAAGTCTTAAACCCTAACAAACCTAGACCCTCCATCTACCCTCTATTAGACCCTCAATGCCCCTTATTTGGGTCCATATACCCCTATTTGAGGGTACAGGGAGGGTCCTGGAACCCTTCAACCCCCTCAGAAGCCGAAAGCCCTAAACCCAAAAAGCTAAACCCTAAACCCTAAACCCCTAAACCCAAAAAGCTAAACCCTAAACCCTAAACCCCTAAACCCAAAAAGCTAAACCCTAAACCCCTAAACCCCAAAAGCCCTTCAAACCAAAGCCGAAGTTTCCTTCAGAAGGCGGGCGATCGTATCATCGGACTTTTGGGCTTGCCCTCGGGCTTCTGGGCCCAACTACGGTTTGGGGGTTTAGGGCTCAGGGGGTTTAGGGTTCAGGGGGTTTAGGGTTCAGGGGGTTTAGGGTTTAGGGTTCAGGGGGTTTAGGGTTTAAGGTTTAGGGTTCAGGGGATTTAGGGTTTAGGGTTTTAGGGTATAGGGTTTAGGGTTAAGGAACTAGAACTTAGTAGCTGAGTGGGTAGCCTTTAACCTTTTGGGGTTTGTATAAGCCTACCAAAATTCAAGAGGTTATATAACCTTTTGGGGGCTAGGGTACTCAGCCTCTAAGAGAAAGCGGGTTTCTTTTTGCTGAAAGCTCTTGGGGATTTTGGATGTAGACTTTTCGGGTTGATCCTTCTTCTGTAATACCACATTACTACAGTCTGTGGGTTCTTAGAAGTCCGTACTACTCTGAAGTGTTTCTTTGGGACAAGTTCTGGGGCCTTGTAAAGAACCGTTTACATAATACTGCCTGTCACCAACCATGCTTGCTGCGCTTCGATGATCACTGTTTTTGAGTTTCTTCCCAGACCCCCGGGAGGATCCAAAAAGTAGATCCCTTAATGGGGTTCCTAGAAAGTACCCTTAGTAGTATAGGGCCCCAAATAAGGAGATCTACTTTCTCGATCCTCCCGGGGGTCTGGGTTCTTGTGTTTCTGGACTGGCCGTCATTTAGACACATGGGAGTTTCAGAAAATTAGGGGTCCCCTTATTTTGGGGTCCTTATAATAAGATCCTACTATTTAGGGTACTATATTAAGGTCCCCTATTTTCGGAAACTCCCACATTGACACGCAAGGCTCTCCAATTCAGTGCGTGGCCGTGACGAGTGCCTTACTATAGAGGTCTGAGTATTCGGCAGTACTATCCCTTCAGAATCCTTACACAGTCTTTGTCATAGGTCCCCACCCAAAGCCTTGATCTAGTTTTCGTGAGAGTGTTAAATTTGGAAGGATTTCTACACCGGTGTCGGAGTCCATTCGTGGTTGCTTGAGTCTCGAGTCTATCTGTCACCCCGGGCCCTACAGGTGTTATGAGACCGGAATTCTAGGGCGAACAGCGGCGAACCGTCAAAACAGATTTCCAGGTGCAGCCTATCAGATGGATTCGTTCGAGACCGGGATTCCCGAAACCACCTTATTTGGGGGCATTAGGTGCGTGCAAACCAAGAAGCCTCAAAACCCCTGAGTGTTTGTACAGTAGTCAAAGTCCCAGACAAAAAGCACCCGCCCAGTATAGAACATATAAGATCCGCAGGATGGTTGTTGTTAGGAGTAGTCTGGGAACCTACTTTGCGAATCCCCCCGCCCCTCCACCCATCCCGCTGCACCCTAATAATGCTGTTCAAGCGGTTGGTTCAGGGCCAAAACTGAGGTTTAACACAGGCTTTGCGCTTTTTTGGCTGCATGGTCTAGTAGTGCCCTCATTCCCTCTGTATCTTTTGGTCTCCTTATTCAGGTACCCTTCTGTTTACGGGCGTACTTGGGGAGTCTAGCGTATTTCTTCCTATTACCCGGTACCATATCCCTGATTTTATCCAATCTGAGGGTCTCGACAACCTGAACTGCGGATTCGTTTGTGATGCTGCTTGTTCTGGCTATGGCAATTTGTCCTTCCCTGCTTTCAAGTTTCGTTTGCCGAATATGATCAGTGCCGTGCATTGTTCTTCTGTTGCTTCTTATGACAGTCCCGGAAAAGCTAGTTTAGCCTCTCAATGTGGATGTGGACAAGCACGGCATCGGCGACCTCGTCGTTGACACGACAGGTGGTCCCTGCATGTTTTTGCGGGTGAGCAGGTGCCGATGCGTCTGCGAGCACATTCCCGCAGCCATTTTGGCTGTAATCTTGTGTTCACAGAGGGAGATGCAATGTCAGAGGGTTCCCACAAGGTCTTTGCGACTCATGCCATCAATCAGTTCATTTCCGCTGTTTGGCCACGACGGCCCGGAGGATACTTCGCAGTCTGTTTGGTGAATGCCACAGCAGCAGCTGTGCTGTTTCCGAGACAGGCTGACCTTGACTGTGCCGAGAATGTGGCCGGGATCCATGTCCTAGACAGATTCGCGTTCGTGTACCTGCAGCTGTCGAGTTTGGGCGCTGGCTGTGCAGCAGCCTTCTTGCGAAAGAGGGCTGCTGGTGCAGATATTGGAAGAACAGCTTGCGCCATTGGGATCCTCTGGATTGAGTCTTTGGTGGCTTCAATGACTCTATCTATCGATATGCTTGACTGCAGATGGGGCGGCTTTCCAGAAGCCGTTGAGGTTTCCATCCTATGCTGCAGGCTAGTGCTGTTTGGGACATGTTCTTACATGATTAATGTAGCCATGGGACATCGACTTCAGCGCTTGGAACAAACCTCGAATCGACACTTTTGCTTTTCTTGTTTTGGCTTCCTCCGCAAAGTGGCATTTGCCGCGCCGACAGTAGTTGTTGTTGTGCGGTGGTTCGTTGACGCCAAGTTTGGGAAGACGGAGGGAAGTTTCATGCAAGTGGTGGTGGAACTCGTCCAGCTTGCTTGGGCTTGCCATCTGGTGATAGGCATGCTGGTAATCTGCGCCATTGCCCGTTCCTTTGTCATGTTTTGTACCATTTTACATTCTTTTGGGTCCTTAAACTTAAGAAGGAATAATAATGTACATGTTTAACACTATCCCAACCATGAACTATATAAACCCTAAACTCTAAACCGTATAGGTTCCTTCTGGATGTTGCGGGAGGTCTCGCGCCTTGCGGATACCGACATGCCAGTCACTGCCAGAGCTCACTTCAGAAGAGCTCGCAGGCTTCTAGAGACTCCAATAGGGTTTAGGGATTAGGGTTTAGGGTTTATGCCAATGCCCTTTAATTCATGGGATTTTTTGTGGTCCTATTGTAATATAAGGTATGTTCCTTTTATATGATTAAGGGATAATAGAAGCATGATCGGCATCTATGAGGGCTCCTTTAAGGGATCTGTAATGGTTCCTTTAAGAGTTTAGGATTTAAGCTTTTGGCTACCATACTAGGGGTCTATAGTAAATGAGATGATTTCCTTTTTATGGTAACTTAAAGTAAAGCCCCTTTAACAAGAACCCAGGCTTCTTGCTCTGCAGGTGGTGGGCTTGTTATTTAGCCTCGTTCTCACGGCTTCGGCACTTCCAGCCATACTTGCAAGTTGTTTGCTCTACACGTCGGTGTTTCAAACGACTGCGATCTATTGGTTTGACTTTTTGCGGCATTGGATTCGGAATATTGGGACTGGCTGTCGTTTTGAAGCTCGTGCAGCAGGACTTGTTGTCCTTCAAGCCGCTGATGTCCTAGGGATGGCCCTGACCTTGCTGCTCTTGTCCGGAAGTCATAGGCTAATATCAGACAAGAAGCCATCTAGCTGCACCTGCCCCGCAGAGGCCGCGGATGAGCATGATCACAAAACACTGGCAGAGGAAACCGAGTGGGGTAGCGAATGGAAAGCAAAGGTTGCTGAACTGTCCTTGAGGGGCATGACGTTGCGCAGCCTGCTGGATTTCTACCAGGAGCACCTCTACTCCATGCCAGACTGGCAGTATGTTCCTGCGGAACACAAGACCAGAGACGTGGTTCGCAGGGCAATCATTCCCCTCACTAGATCTAGCGAATCCTCTTTCGCCGCTTCAGCTTTCAATCGGGACGGCGCTCAAAGGCCCCATGTCATGGTGACGCACAGTTGGGGGAACTGCTTTCGCGATCTGCTAGCAGCCGTCGTCTCCGATGCCTTAAAGGAAAGCAGCTTCGGATTGGTAGCAAACTTGCTGCAAGAAGATCCCGCTTTCCTGCGTGAGATTCTCGCAAGATGCAGCTGCCTCGATGACACGTATTGGATTTGTGCATTTGCCGTGAACCAGCATCTGAGCATATGCCACAGCAATCCTTTCGACCGCGACCCCCTCACCCAGGAGCTCCACCCCGTCTGTCAGTGCAGCTGCGTGAATATCATTGATCCGGACGGCCGAAGCTCTAGCTCAGAGATCAACAAGTTTGATGACATGATGTACCACCTTGCCGCGGTAGGGGGCTGCAGGCAAGTCATTGCAGTTGATCAAGCTCTTGACCTATTTCAGCGTGCATGGTGTGTCGCCGAAATAGCAGAAGCCAAGCGTCTGCGACTGACTCAGGTATTGAAGCTCAAATCCAAAGCCACTGTCACACAACATGCGAACGCTCTAGAGAACTTGGATGTTCGGAGCATGCATGCATCCTCCGACACGGACAAAGACTTCATTCTCAACAAAATAGTTCAAAATAGCAAGAGTATCGACCAGTTCAACCAAGAGCTGCGATTGCTGATTCTTGATCCGAAGTCCGGTCTCCTCGCATCCTGGCATGCGATGGACAGTCTGCAACAACTTGGAGAAGCCGGCCGGTTGATTCGATGGGGGCTTGCTGATGCAGGCACTGGGAAAGTGTGGAAAGCATGGGAAACCCATGAATGATCCCTCTTCTCAGCATCTCGAGTTTTTTGCACATCCCCAAAGAGGCATGTCGCATATGGGGTCCTCGGAGCAGATGGTACAGCGCATCAGGGCCACCGTGACCATTCTGTACAGGCATGGTCTGATAGCAGAGCCCTCTTGAAAGCTCCCCTGGACCTTGGTGTTGATGCATGCATACTATAGGGGCCTAAATAATTACCAATGCTGTTTTTTGGGAGGGGTCCTTATGGCCCAATACCCGATTCTAGTTATTAAGGCCCCTATACAGCTGCCTCCTGTTCTTGTAGTGCCACCCTGCGCTACAGACGGCTTTTGGAGAGGCATGCTTATGAATTTGTCGCACCACCGTTGTCATGACTGCCAGGAGCACGCAGCAAATGCAGCTGAAGGCATCTGCCTATAAGAAACTGATGTGGAAATGCATGGCCTTCCGTGCGCCGGACACATCCCCTCTACCCTAAATTCCTGGGTTGTCCTTTGGGATCTTTTTTAATTTTCCCTACTATTTTGTAGAGAACCATAATAGTAAATAATTTTCAAAGGGCGTAAGGGACAACTCAGATTCCTAAATGCCTGAACTTTCCAAGACGTGCTGCTTCGAACATAGCAGGTCATTGGCTACATCAACGACACCGACTACGGCAGCTACGAGGGCATACTGCGAAGCTAAACCCCCAAACCGCCCAAAAACCCTAAACCGTTAAACCCCAAACCGCCCCCCACAGGATTCTCGACTCCAAGAGCCCCCAAAGACCCAGAGACTCCAATATCCCTTACTTAAGGAATATACCTTAAATTATAATAGGATCCCTAATATGATTTAAGGAAGATTCCCTAATTAAGGGGTACTTGGAGGGTCGGGGGACTTAGTAAGTAGGTAGTAAGTAGACTTATAAGTACCCTAAAAGGGACCCTAATTGGGGTTATGGTACTTATAAGCCCCTAAAATAACCCAGTTACTAAGTCCCCCGACCCTCCAAGTATTGGAGTCTCTGGGGACCAGACCCTGGGGCGCCGCCCCGCGCCCGGCAGCTCTCCGCGCGCGAGCCGGGTGCCAAGCTGACTACGAGGCGGGCATCGGGGGTTGAACCATGTGGGAGTTTCCGAAAGTTAGGGGTACCTTTAAAGGGATCCTTAAAGGGATCTATAAGAGTTCCATAATGAAAGGGTTTAGGGTTTGGAGTTTCCGAAAAATAGGGGTATGTGATTTATAGGGGTCCTTGCAATGAGGATCCTACTATTTAGGGCACTATAGTAGGGTCTCCCATTCTCGGAAACTCCCATGTTGAGGCAGAAGTTGCTATGAGCAGAACCACGGCTAGTTCATTTCATTTCAATGCGGACTTTGGGTCTTGCCTCGGAGTCTTTTGGCTTGAGGGTCTGTTTGACTTATAGACTTTTCCCCTACGGGATTCAGGGCTTATATATCTTATTGGCAAGGAATAGGGCCCTTTACTTAGTAATTATAGTGTTAAGTTTCAGGGTTTCGTAAGGGTTCATGAACTTGTTTATGACGATGTAGACCCTGATTTATACACTCCTTCTCCCGAATAAGATCACGGTAAGAACGCCGAGCCTCTGAAGCCTGTGGGGATACTAATCAGGGGCTGCATGAGTCACCTGAGTGGGTCTGGGAGTTCGGGGTCTGTCGTGTCGGGTTTGGGTTAGAAGGGCCCCCAGAGGAATAAAAAACCGGTGGAAGACTGCATACCTGCATACGGAATCCTTCGACGGAGCAACCCTTAAACCCGAACCGAAACGAAGGCCGCGAAGTCTTAAACTCAGAATGAATACTCAATACATCAAGTGACAGACGACCTTGTAAAGCCTTAAAACGGTCACCTTGAGCCCCTCGCCTCCGGCAAGAAGGCGCTTCCAGCACAAGTCTTTCAAGGCAAATATGAGACTCCTCCTAGACCCTCCATCTGCCCTCTATAGACCCTAAGTACCCGTTATCTGGGACCATATACCCCTATGTGAGGGTACAAGGAGGGGTCCTGGCTGTAAGTCACCCAGAAACCCAGAGACTCCAATATCCCTGAATTAAGGAATATTCCTTAAATCATATTAGGGATCCTACTATAATTTAAGGTAAATTCCTTAATTAAGGGATATTGGAGTCTCTGGGAACCCCATCTTGACTGAAGCTTGCAGGCTGCAGGCAGGCCACACACCCGACAAAGCTGCGTCAGGTGTTTTTGGTTACGGCCCTGTAAGGACCCTGGAAACCCGAAGCCCTAACCCAAGCCCTATGTTCCTGAAGTCAGAATCAGGAACCATATTCAAACCCCTAAAACACCGGACAGCCCCAAAGAGTCTGCACGGGTTTGGGGAGTCTCTGATCAAACCGATAGAGTCCACCCCAAACCAACCCAATAAAAACCCTACAGCGCCTTATTACTCCCTGAACAAATCCTATAAGCCCTTATCAGCCTTATGAAATCCCCTCACAAAGCCCTTAAAGGTCTGTAGGACTTAAGAGTCCGTATATCGAATTGAGAAGCACCACTCGCAAGGTCCAGGGTCTTAAGCTTATGCTCACAAGCAGTCAGCGCCGAGAAACCATGAACGAGCGATGCAAAGCGAACTTTTTAGCAAGACTTCTGACCCACTGCTCTGGACGGCTTGAGCTGTCATTAGGCATGTCTTTACACTGCACATGAATGCCGACAGCTGGCCCTAGGGTCTTGATCACTGCAGAGGCTTGAAGCATAACAGCGACCATAAAAACACTCGTCCAAGAAAGCTCACGATCTCTGGAGGGAACATGTTCTTTCATACTCCTCCTTGATGAAGCCGAAAGGCCGCACATCACAATGCCATGAGTTCCCGACGGTTCTTTGGAGCCTCAGCCTCTTATCGATTGTATAAGCTTCGGCCTCCGTTTTCAACACAACATCTGCATAAGCGGAGAAGCTGTGCTCGACCGGTGTTCCGTAGTCCCCAGCAATTGGCCTGTAAGTGAATCACATCAGCACCTGGTACATGATGGAAGGGGCCCGCAAAAGTCTCAACCCTCACCGGAGGCTCAGGAACTACTCTTTGGAAAACCGGTTCATAGTCCTTTCGGACTCCTTGATCTCGCGTACCTGGTCTTGAAGGCCGTGATGTAGAAGACGAAGCTGTACTGGTAGGGACATCTGGAGGAACTGTTGGAACAGGGGAAGTTCCCGAGGGCATCGTAGTCTCAAAAAGCTCTCTCAACTCAAGGAGCCGCAAGCCTTGTTGGTCTGTAAGATCATTTGGTTCCAGTGCAAGAAGCCTTTGTAACTCTTTGAGCTCGGCTCTCGTCATTTTCCCGAAACTTGATCTGGCTCGAAGTGCTCTGAGACGTATGTCTTTACCCTTCCAACAGCTCTTTAATCCCTCCCAGCAGAAAATCACGATCACTGCCATGACCAAGATCACCACATATAAATCCCAAGGGACCTCAGCTTGTATCTGCTCTTTCTGCGCAATTGCACCGCAGAGTTGACAGAGCATAAGCAGTTTGGTCAACCATGGTTTCTGTGTCTTGATCGTTTTCACCACAGGCGTTGTTTCGCTTCTGCGATCCACGACATTCCACAACCTCATGAGTTGGTGAAGTCTCTCTTTGGTGAAGGGCTTTGTTCCCAAGTCGGCCTTCTGGGTGAGGCCCGGCTCAAAGACAATCGTCATGTCCCCTGTGTTTATCTTCTCCCGTACGTAGTTAGCTCGAAGTCGTAGATGACGTGTCCTCCACGAACCCGTAGAACCTTGGAGAAGAAGTAAAGCTGCTTGATTGTCAATATGCAGCTGTAGCTTCAAGACCCTTCCTTCCAGCTCTTGTAGAAGAGCCCGAGCTGAATTTGCAAGGGTGGTGCCTTCAACACCTTCCAAAAGCTCTGATTCAGCGGTACTCAAAGTCACTAGCTGCTGCCGTCCTGACTTCCACACCAGAGGGTTCTTCCCAAGGAACACGCATGCTGAGCCATGACTTCTCCCCGAGCTCGGAGCGAAACTTGAGTCAGTGTAGACCCTTAAAACATCTTCACCTGGTTCGTTCGGAGAAAACCTTATCCTGTAGTGGATGGTTTCGTTCAAATAGCTCAACAATCTCTTCCCAACCTGGTTCACAATCTCCGGACATCTTGTAGTACGGGCAGAAAGGAGGGCGGTGATATACTGAATGTCCGGCCTTGTTCTTCCCGACAACCAAAGACACTCACCAACACGACGTTGGGCCTCTTTTAGCTCGTGTTCTCGTCCTGCAAGATCAGCGGGCTGAGCGTTGATGATCGCCTCTTCTTCTTCTGCAGACATCACCAGGGTTTCCTTTGGACCCTGCGTCATCGATCTGGAACCATCATGTCCATGTGCTCTCAGAAGTTCTCTTACGAAACCTTCCTGCGCAAGCTCTACCCCTCCATCCACCAAGTGCATTTCCATGCCCAAGAACTTTATGGGGTGCCCTTCTTGGAGAACATCTAAATGATCACACTCCCAACGCGCTGCAACCCATCCGTAGAAAGCTTCCATTGCAGCCGGCATGGCATTCACGAGGAGGTCATCAATGTAGACCATGACGTAACCCAAAGGCTCTGGATCACCATTGCATCGAACGATCTTCCAGATTTGGTTGTCCGTGACCAACTGCACAACCTTGAGCTCTTCTTCCTTTCCATCAATGATCGCCTTGAACTCTGCCTTCTCCAACTGTTCATCTCTGAACTGCGACCACAAGGCTGGACTTTGTCTTAATCCATAAAGAGCCATCTCAACCAGCCAGTAGTCTCCAGGCTCTGCTAGCCCAAGCTCAAATGCAATAGCCGGAGGTTGCAAAGCCACTCGTTGACCTTTCCATGGAGCCAGAACAAAAGCTTGTCTGATGTCTGTTGTTCCATAAGCCCATGGGCGACCAATGGTGTAGGAAAGCATAGTCCTCAACGAAGTCGCATCTATGCCTGTGGCGAAGAGGTCCATATCTTCTTGACCACCAGGGATATAGTTTCCACATCCCACGAACCTGGTTTTGCGCCTGTAGAGGTCCTTCTTGTCTGGTTTGGTGGTAAAGACGCCCTTACAGGGTATAATTTGACACCCAGGAGGTAGTTGATGCTTCTTCTTTATCGTGATGGCCCTTTTGTTGTCCTTAAGGTTCACAAACTCCTTCACTGCTGACTCCTTCCACGCCTCTAGGTTCTTTTTCACGTCTTGAAGGCTCACTGTGTGAGTTACATCTAGAGGTTGTTGACGTCGAACACAGTCTTCTAGGATATCTTCAATGCCCATGGTAAACTGGATCTCGGCCTTCTTTATGATCCTGCGGGGAGCATGGACAGGGGCCTCAACTCTTGAATCCGTTCCACCAATGCAGGGCGCCAGGTCTTCATCATTCAACTCGATGAAAGCATGGGGGTCCCTTACTCCCATACGAAGAGCTCGGACTGCAACTTCTAGATCTCCTTGAGGTTCTTCATCAAGGTCCTCTATACCTGAGGCATCAGGCTTCAATGACTCTGGGTCAATAACAAAACCATGATCCTTCAAGGTATCCACATCGGACTGGGATAACTTGGTAGCCCTCGGAGTGTACATCAACATGACAATCCGCTCTCCTTCCCAAGGTTGAACTTGATGCCATACCCTTGGTGAGAACTTAGTCACCTTCCCTGGCTCCATTTCCACGATCTTTCCTTGTACGACCTTGTCATTTGGGAGGGTTCTCAACTCCTTCTGGCCTTCATCAACATCATCATCCATGACCCATAGTTGTCCGCCAGTGAAAGACGTCAAAGGCAACACCGCATTTTTGGAGCCTTGGAAATTATGGGAGTCCCTGTGGATGCCCAGCTCGCAGTTCCTGGCAATGCCCAACGCAGAGAAACTCATGTCACCAACGCTTTTCTTAGCGAACTCCGTCAAGTACTTGGTGGTGTTGGGGTACTTCAGAAGGTTTCTCCGTACTCCTGCTTTTCCTCCATGAACATAAGCTCCAGAGTACCATGAGGTAGCCGCGGTCTTTTTTCCAACCCTGAAGTCGGTATCCCCCAGCTCTTCCAACTTGTAGTAGAGGTTCAACACATCTTGCACTTGGTAGCTTTTTTCA